GACGTGGAGGATGATACAGAGATACCGCTTCCGGAACCGACGGTTAAAGCTCGTAAGAGGGTGTCTGTCAAAGACCCTCGGAGCTTGTTACGGACCAAGGAGGAGATCGAAGAGTTTGACAGACACGCCCAAGACCTCGAGGTGATGAAAGATCTCCTCTCTGTGGAGGAGCCAGCGCGTCCCGAACGACCGCTCGCCGACGGCACCACGGAAGCTGAAGGTGCAGCGGATCAGAAAGAGGTGACAGATGAAGAAGAGATTCTGAAGGACAAGCACTCGGGCCAACTTTTTCTGATCCAGTTTCCACCGCTGACCCCGAATCTGGTTGTTCAAGGCGGGACAGAACAGACGACGGAGGGTGGGGTTGGCGCGCTCGACGGCGATATCAGTATCACCCACGCAGGCCCTCGAGCAGATGGTCCTGCAGTGAAGCAGGAGGAGGACGCAGATGTTCAGGAATTGAAAGCGCAAACGGCCGCTGAAAAGCCAGCCAAGTTGGTGACAGCGACACAACAGCAGCTCCCCGCGGGTCGGGTGGGCAAACTGCATTTACATGCATCGGGGCGAGTGACGATGGACTGGGGCGGAATCAGCTTCGAGCTGGATCGGGGGACGGAGGTGAGCTTTTTACAGGAGGCTTTGATCGTGTCGACACCATCCACGGCGCAGGCGGCCGGCGAAGAGGAGAAGGATTTCGAGCCGGAGGAGAAGAAAGTATGGGCGATGGGACAACTCAGCGGCAAGTTTGTGGCACAGCCGAATTGGGAGAAGCTGTTGTAGCTTCACCTCGATGGCTTTCGAGGTTGATACCTGTACAATGCTCCATGAAGGGGGTTGGAGAGAGAAGTAACAGGAATACATGTTCCGTGAGGCATGATGCCAGAGGGCTTGGTTTGAGACCAGTGTTGTTGCCATGAAGCATAGTATGATGAATACGACCATAGATTTGCTAGTAATCTCATCTTCTTCCCGGCCTGGGAAGAGAGCAAAAAATAACTGTTACGATAATGAATTCCCAGGTGGCCATGCCTCTCAATGCTAAAAGACGCAATTCTTGTCAGGAGCATCTGTATACTTCTACATGCGCCTTGCACTCTGCGAGTAGTGTAGCAGAAGGGATGGTGATTGGATATGCGGGTGAATAATTATATATTTTTGCAGAACGACCTGAAACCGTATCCGCTGTACACCGTAAGGGGCCAGGTTGTGTGCGGTGCCTATAACATTTTCTTTCCTCTCTTCTTTTATCAGTCTACAAGCCCTTCTCCATGAACATAGATCAACTGCGGAGTAGACTGGAACTCCGTTCCGCACTCACAGTCAAAGGGACGGTGACTGCCGGGTACGTCATGGCAGCCGGCGGGGGATGCTGGACATGGGAAATTCGACAATAATTCGCCGGCTGTCTTCACCGGGTCTGGCCCAGCCACGGGCGCCGCTAAGCTTTGGCGACGGCGTGGGGCGAGCCCACTGTGGCGGCTGGAAGAGGCAGCACGGTGCTGGCAATCCTTGGCTGTGACTGGCTGCTGGCCCGCTTCACTGCGCCCGGCCTGCACGCCGTTGGCCTGCCTAATGAGCAGGATGTGCTGCAGCCCCATCGCCGTCTTGCCCGGGAGCCACTCTCTCTCTCAGGGGCCTCTGCTAACTGAGCCCGTGTCTGTGCCTGTGTGTGCCTGGGGGAAAAAGGCTGCAGAGGAGCCTCAGCCAGGTCCTCGTTCTCGATGTTTCTTGCTCGCCCTCTGTCCTCTGGCTCTCTTCCTCCCTTTTCCACGAGTCGAGGCTGTCACCAGGCCGTCCCCTCCTCAACCCTCATCGTCTCTGCTGGGGCATCTGAGCGTGTACATCGACCGCACATCGATCTGGCCGTCTCGAGATCTCCTTCAGCCGTTGCCAAGGCTCTGTCTGGCGGCTCTGGCCTCTTCAAACTTGATCGCGCCTCGAAACTGCTAAGAGACTGTCCCTAACGACGACGACCATCTTTTGCGGGCCAAGCCGCTTGACGCAACCGGTGCAACCAGTGCAACCATCGCGATCGACTCCTATAAAAAAATAAATACGAGGAATAGCGTGGTGGAATAATCTAATTTGGACGTCTCTGGGTTTGTTTACTTGGTGTTGCGGCGACGGTCGTCCGGGTGAAATTACCTAGTGACCACCACATCACCGTTCGAGTTCATATCTTCCTCAGAGCACAAACATCACCACAATGAGGATATTGAGCAGTTTCCTTGTGTTTCTCGCTTCCACTGCTGCAGTGGCAGCAGAGGAGGTCCCCTCCAACGCTGAACCGGGCGCGGTTTCGACGACAGGCTCCTCGCTGGTGACACCACCTCCTCTTCCTCCGCAATCGAACCAGGATGAAGGAGCTCTCGAAGCCCGTGAGATTGTTCAGAACCCCGGCGCTGCACCCGCTACCACGGCCACGCAGATGAACCCTACCACGACGATATGGCAGGAAACCACGCTGAAAGACGGTGAGGTCGTCACGGCACCCGTTACCTACGTCCAAACATTTGCGAAGGTGCCAGACCAATGGCCGTCGCCCTCGAGCGGTTCCATCGGACTGGGCACGTTGTCGGGGAAGATTGGTGTCACGTCCACCATCACGGTGGAGGCTCGCTCGCTCAAGGCTCGAAGTGAGGGCACTCTGGGCCAGACGCCGTGGATCGGGATGGCAGTGGGATTGACATGCACGGCACTGGCAGCTATAATGCTGGGTTAACGCGCGCAGCAAAAGACTCGATCGACAGCGCATCGATGCTTCGACATCCACCCTTTTATTTGATCCGACTTCGTCTTTCAGCGTTTACATTCACTGCGGCTTAATATTCACACGACTATTACCTTGGATGTCCATAATTGACGGCGACCCCTACATGCACCTATAAACCGTTCGAGCGAGGAATCGGCTACTGTACCGTATTTTTTTTAGCATTGCATATAGACTGGCGTCTTTCGAGTGCAGCATTTGCGGCCAGTGCTTGTGTACCATTAATTGTTTTCAGCGGTTGTCATTTTCTCTTCTTGTCCCTGGGCCTTTTTTTGTCATTCTTGTTATCTTACTCTTTTATTGCCAGTGTACCACATTGTATTCATGGTTTGACTGGTTTTTCTTTTTTTTCCCCTTCTTCTTTTCTTCTTCTTCTTTCTTTTTTTTTTTGGTAGCAGGAGACATGTGCATGGCTCTGGTTCTTTTCTGGCGCAGGCGATCAGTTCTTTGGCCAGGGCTTGCTTGCTTGTTTACAATTCACGACTTTTTTCTAGGAGGCGGTTATAACTGTGTTTCGCTAGCAGTGCCGTCATCTTGTTGTCCATATAACAAGCGTGTTGTATGGCGTACATACATACAGAACTGTTGATTCGAAGGCCTGTCCGCGCGAGTGAGTTGTACCGTATCAATTCATGATGTCCATGTAGACATGCAGAATCGGAATCTACGATTGAAGAAATGCCTACAGTACGGAGTGTCTTCTAATTATTAATTCAATGAAGCTGCCTTCATGCAACTACCTATCATGGCTGTAGACCTAGACAAGAGTTTTTTTCTAAAGCAACATCCAGCCTGAGGCAGCAATCGAACTACTCTATACAGAGCCAGCCATCGACCAGAGCCGGATATAACAACAACGACGATTAATCTAATCACCCAAACACGATTCGCTGACGCAATAATGATGGATGGATGAAAGGAAGGATGGAAGGAGATGGGGGCGGGGGCCAAGCCATGCGCCATGAAGTCAAACAACTCTCACCAAGATGAAAAATTATAGGCAGAGAACCGACATACTTTCGCCAAGATTCGGGGTGATAGGTTAACCAAGGCTCGCCTAATTGCGCCATACAATAATAGGTAGTACTTGCTGCTTGTACAGCCTCCGCGGGGCGCGAAAAGAAAAAAAATTAAGGGCCTGAGGCCTGAGGGTCATATTACCTGTTGGAGGCAGTTACTCCATACCCCGTATATAACAGTGGGTGGGTAACCCCAGATTTTTTGAATGGACTCCCCACACCACGACGACGACACACGACAATCCCTACTAACTACTACAGTCTAACTAGAAGAATCTACCAGCCAGCTTGCATGCATGCGTGCATGCGTGTCATTCACACTATCATCCCTGCCACTGCTGCTGAGAAATTCTTAGCCGTTTTCTAGAATCCATCTGACTCATTCATTTATCCATCTTGATCCAGCCATCATAGCCTCATCGTCATTATTTCCAAGAACGACCAACGGCTAGTCAAGGTGGGGAATCTCATCTCATTAATCATTTAATGGGTGAATGAACGATCTTATATACCATTTTTACTACCTAGGTAAGTAAGTACATACCTACCTACCTACCTACCTTATTTGACTGGCCCATCCTGGTCTGTCAGTCTTTCCTTGTGTAACGGATGTAGGTAGCTATTACCTACCCAAGGTGATTAACCTCGGAATGAAATCCATCATCCATCGTCTTGGAACCTGCCGGCGCATTGTCCATCCAGTCTTCCTCCCCCATTTCAATCCGTTGCCATCGTCGCTCAAGTCACATCTCTATCGAGGATAAGAGATATGACCCTCTCTTTCTTTGGTTGTATTTTTTCCCCACTTCTCCTCCAAACACTTCTTCAGAATATGTACATTTAGTTACAGCTATTGTCGACAACTGACTGACTGATGATACAAGTGAGCTGGAGCTAGGTAGCAAGCAAGCAAGCAAGCGACGACGGGCCAGTTCCGCCTTACCTTCAGATTCACCTCGCTCCCTCGTTTCATCGCGAAGCAAGAATCTCATCGAGGGAAAAAAAAAAGGAACAACACAGTGTGAAGTCGATCAATCAATCATTCCTCCCTGTTCGACAGTGTCTCTAGACACAGAGAGGTACATTGTCGAAGAGGAATCAGTTCAGTAATCACACGGTAGCGATATAATACAGTCACTGCATACATCCATCATGGATGACGTCGCCAAGTCCTACGGCGTCAAGTTCCCGCCCTATACCCCAATCGACTCCTTGCGCGATGAACTGGGTATCATGTTCGGCTTCATCGCTGCCTGCGTTCTGACCGTGGGTGTATATTATGTGCTTTGGCAGGGTGGGAAGCCTCTCTCCCACTCCCCCACTCTCTTTCTTTTCTATCAGCATGGCTGACCGTTTGTTGTTGAATTCATCGTCACAGCCATCCAACGCCGCGAAGCCGTCAAAGACGAGGCCCGCCGCGCAGAGCTGCGCGCTCGCGGCTTCCACCACGAACGAGGCGGCTACCACGAGAAGATGCTGAATCGCTTCAACACCAACGCCGATCAGTCCCAGGCCCAGCTCCAGTTTCTGACTCAGCCTTCGTCTCTGCATTCGTCGCCGACGCCGAGGACCGCTGCGGCGGGTGCAAGGAACACAACGAATAGAGCTCTGGACGACGACGATGATGACGATGATGTTGTTAGCTGGAGGAGGGTCCTGATCTGATCTGATTGGGATGAGGGAAACGAATGAAATGAAATGACATTAAATGAACCAAAGCAATAGACCGATCAATCTATCCCATCAATTCTTCTTTCTTTCATCCTCTATCCATCCTTCTACTCCTTGAAGAGTGAACTGTCTCTGGAGACGCTTCGAATTGCGGGTGCGCGTGTAGTGGGTATTTTTTTTTTACGATTTATTATTATTACTGCGAATAGAGTTCGGCTGCACTCAGCGTTGTTTGTTTTGTTTTGTTTTGTTTTTATCGATATATCAGGAAGAACCGAACGTGCTGAGGGATGTCTTGTCATGGCGTGGAAATGAGATGAGAATAGATAGATACGATGCGAGTCAAAATGTCAATGACATATATGTATGTACAGTACATACGTAGGTAATTATTTCCCTGGTAAGTTTTCTTTTCTGTCTCCGTGTTGTAACTTAAATTGCAACCGTTCATCCATTTGTATCAATTCACTATTATGAATATGCGTGTATGTATTTATCCAGATGATGTATAGTATGACAAATGGGTATACAAAAGGGGGTTTATGTACTAGCATATATCGATATATCTATCGCTTGGTAAACTCAAGAACAAACCGGACTCGCAAATCCAATTGTCCATTTCAAACTTCCCATGATGACGACCAGGAATGCCAGTGCAATGCCCACGCTGGCTGCGCCGTACACATAGGCGTGCCGTCGCATTCCCAGACCATGCAGCTCTGCTACCCAGGTGCTCACCGTCGTGGCGCAGCCGCAGAAGCCGTCCATGACACCCTGCAATACCTGGCAGCTCGTCAGGAGGGATTTCGAGGTAATTACTTGTGCTGCTCCAATCCCTGCGACGTGTTGCAGATCATAGCACATCCCTTCAATAGCTGTCCCCAAGATATTGATCGTAAACGTACCCAGAGGGAAAGCTGGGAGGCGCGCGTTGAGGTACAAGGACAGGTAGAACCGGAGCAGGCAGCCGAGTGGAGCGAAAACAAGCGCGAAAATTGCCCGACCACGCCATGTCTCTTCCGTGTGCATGCGATCTGGCGGCCAGATTGCCATGAATACGGCGCCGAGCCAACAGCCCCAGGCGAGGAGGACGACGACACGGTCAAGAACCTTTCGAGTGAACCGGAACGGAACGACGGGCGTCCATGGATCCAGCGCGATTGCGAGATGGGCCCCGAAGAACAACGACGACATGCTCAGGGAGACAGTAACAATAATCACGGCGACGACGGCCATGAAACTGTCACCGCGATTGCGGGAAATCGCGCCAGTAGTCCCCGCGGACGGATTGGGCAGATCGTTCGAGAGCGCAAGAAACGCGTCGCGTATGAAGCTGGAAAACGAGGTAAAGGATCCGCAGAATCCAGTAGTCAGGCCGATATAGAGCGGAATGGTCTTCTTGACCGTCTTGTGCTTCTTGATCCATGCAGCCATGACATCAGCACCTGAATCGGTTGATGGAGGCTCGTTCCCGCTGGCACCCCATTCCTCCCGGAAAAGATTCCTGTCTTCGATGAAGAAGCCCATCAGAATGCAACCGCCGACATTTGCCCACAACACGCCCGTCACGACCGGCGCACCGGGATAGAAAGTCAATGCCTGCAGTCCCAGACGTGCCAAGGTGCCAAGGATGGAGAAGAATATGAGGTATGAAATGGTATAGAGCTTTGTCGCGAGCTTGGACACTGGTGGAGGGCCCTCTTCCCGTTTGCTGACGGCCGAAGGGCGCCTCGATGGTGGCCGCTGTCGAGTGGATGTGTGAGATAACCGAGGAGCAGGCGGCCCCGCGACGAGTTCTGCGAGGGGAACATTGGACCCCTCGGTACCTCTCTCACCACCGTACATTACTGCGCCGTTTATTTGCTGCTGTGATTCCCTCCAGTCGGCAGGAGCTTGGACGAGAAGCTCTGACAGAGGCGCTGCTTCATATCCGTCCCCTGCTTCACCTGTCTCTTCCTGTCTTCTGGACCTGCTCGACTGGATCATTTCCAGCGAATTATCCTCATTGCCAGTGACATTTTGCGTAGCATTGGCATCCGAATCGGAGGCCGGGATCAATGGAGACATTGTGATTAACACTTCATGTCATTGAGGTCGTCGCATTCTTCTTGCGCCTGGGAGATAAGGAGCGGGGTCTTTGAACGATCACCGATGGTGCCGTGTTGTCCCGGGAAGGAAGGAATCTGTGATGTAGCAGACAGAGTCTGCAACTGTCTCGGAGAGATTGGGGTTCGCGTCGGAGTCTGAACTGTGGAAGGAGTTTGTCGGTGGTGATGGTTTAAAAATGAAGACTTCCAGATTAGGCATTGACACGTGACCTGGGAGGTAATATGAGTCGGACGCCGAGCCGGGCGGCCCGTCTGGGTCACGTGGACCATTAAATTTGCGGGGTCGCAGCTTCTGGAAGAAACATCCGACAGGCTGCCAATCAACCAATCAGGACACTCATAAGGTAATATCAAACGATAGTACGGCGCCTTGAAGATTGTCAACTTCTGGTGCTAAATGAATGTTTGACATCTTGACCTGTTGAGACTCAGCACTAGCACATCTTTGGTTTACAGCTCTAGGTATCACTTTTTCTTTGTCTCGTCCAAGTTCACTAGTCCAGTTTCTGAATCTTCTCCCATTCAATAAATAAAGACCATCGTCAACTGAATGTGGGGTATTGACAGTTGTTCAGCCTTATGCATACTATATCTTATCAACAATGGAAAGAGATGAAGTTCATATTGGCACTACACTACAGAGTATTCAGTATGCGCGGTTGAACAAAACCCCATCTTGGTTCTATAAACATAAGAACAATAGTTGAAAAGAGGTGAAAGAAAGAAAGATCTTCAGACAATTTCTATTGAATAAATCAATCTAGCAGCTGAAAGACCGTAAATAGACAAAACAATGATGCTGTGAACAACTGGACTCTCGTATTCTTTCTTCCTGTTTAACGCATCTTCTCTTCTCATAGATCATTCTTACCTACAAACAACAGAAATGATTGTTAGAGTAAAGGTCTGTTTTGTATGGAACTATTCTGGTTAAATTGCCCATCTTATCCCATCCATCCCATCCATCCCATGGCAGGGCTCACCATGTACATCCTGCTTCTACCACCACCTCCTCTTCTTCTATCGATTCTATATCGCTTCTGAATATCCTTTCTTCGTCTCTAGAGATTTATCGTCACGTCTCTTATCACGTTCGGCACGAGCCTCGAGGTGCTTCTAGAACTACATCATGGCACCGGATCCGCTCCCTGCCAACATCCATGTCTCCACGCATCCTTGTCTCCGTGCAAAGCTGTCCCAGCTGCGATCACAGAGCACAACCTCCTCCCAGGAAATAAAGTCGCTGGTCCATGATATCGCCGCGATCCTCGGATGTGAGGCGCTTGCGGCAGGATTGAGAACGCTTCCAAGTGGGACGGTAAGATGAGCTTGAATCCTTTTTGCTTGATAGTATGGAGTCCTTGAGATGGAAAGACAGAAAAGAAAAGAAATAAGAAAATAGGAAGAAGGAAAGAAATAATGTTTGGTTGGCACACGACAGGACAAGACCCGCTAGATGTCGACTATACGACGGAGGCCGTTGAGCCATCCAACATCGCGCTCATCCCGGTGCTAAGATCCGGTCTTGGGATGGTGGTGGGTGAGTCTTGTCGTTTTTCGTCTTCACTTTTATTTTATTCTTATTCTCTAACTCTTTCTTCCAGCCCTTCAAACCCTCCTCCCTTTCTCTGTCCCCGTCCACCATCTCGGCCTCTTCCGCGAACGCATCACCCTGCAGCCGGTCGAATACTACAACAAACTGCCCTACGAACCCGCTTGCCCTTCGTCCTCCGACTTGACAGCACTATCAGCAACAGCCCCAGCCCCTGTCTCGACAAACACCGCCGTCAACAAAGCCGCTGCGACGCTGGCTATCCTCCTCGACCCGGTCATCGCAACTGGCGGCAGTGCCGCGGCTGCTACCTAGATACTCCGCGACTGGGGCGTCCAGCGCGTCCTCCTGCTCAGCATCCTGGGCTCCAGCCAGGGCGTGCGCAATGCCGCTGAGGTATGGCCCCAGGGCGTCGATATCTGGGTCGGCGCTTTGGATCCGACTTGTGATGAACGGGGAATGATCGTGCCCGGGTTGGGCGATATTGGGGATCGATTATTCATGGGCCGCGGGGAGATGACATCGGAGGAAGCGGAATGAAGTCAGGACGCATCTTGTTTACCACGTGGAAAATACGAAAATGTACATCACAAATGGACACTGGAGAAGAGGGATATAGCGGGCTTTTATCACCTCTTCTTATCACCTCTTCTGTAAACCATTAACTTCTGTTGGCGCTGTCCGTTACTTTACGAAACTTAAGTGAGAAGGGATATGGCGAGATCTGTAAGGCTTATCCTTTACGTATGAAAATTCACACCCAATAATTATCTTGTATTTTGTTCCTCAAAACTATGGTACAGGTACTATCTGACGGCATATGCTTTAAAAAAACAGAAGCCAGCAAGACAGAAACACTGCAATTGCAAAGCACTCAATTAACATAAGACAGAAACAACGATCAACGCGCAATAGAGCAAGTGCAAGATTCGATTATAAACGCAGCAAATTGGGAGAGGAGACTAGTACCCGGATTGTTGAGACCCAGAGCAATGCAAATGTGAACTGCAACAAATAACGCGACTCTAACACGAATGCAACTGATTAATGGAATAATAAAAAATAAAAAAGAGGAAAAAAAAGGGGGTCTGAAACGAGTGACTAGAAGGAAAAATAAAATATATCATGCAGAACAAACAAGGTATCAAATGGGGTCAAACGACAACTAGCGTGTTCTCAAAGTGGATGCACTGGAAAAAGGAAAATAGGGCAATAAAAAAAAGTATTAATATGGCCATGCCAGAATCGAAGAAACACACAGGACCAGCCGAGTGTAGACATGTTGCCTTCGCTAACCCATCAAAACCCGAGAAGACGCACTGACCGGACTCCTGTGAGCTCTTGCAAAAACCGAAAGACACAAACCCATCAAAACGCAGCAGAAACCATAACTCGAAAACCAGAACATAACAAATCGATAGGGCAACTGCCAGCAAGAGGACCAATAGCGTGACAAATTCAATGATCCCGCCGCCCCTTGCCAGTCCGTGCCCCGAAAAGTGCCGTATTTCCATTTTCCGCCGATGACCCGATGAACCAAAAACAAACCTCAACGAGAGTAACGAAATCAGAGAAAAATGCAACCATGAAAATGCTAAAGAGATCAGAGTCCCGCGGGAATGCAGGCAGCATCATCATTCGGATTTCTCCAGATGCTACCAGGCGTCCCGGAAACAAAACGAGCGACAGGGAAAAAAAATTATAATAAATTAATATCAATGGTTCATATGCGAAGAGAAGTGAAGAAGCTTTCAGAATAGCCTAAGAGGCCGAGACCTAATAAGCTGTGCCGACACTTGCCAGACTCTTCGTCGGCATTGGCTGCAGGGGCTGATCCTTGGCAACATGAAGCGAGTCCTCATAACCGACCAAAGCTTGAGCATGGAGCTTGAAAGATTCACCCATGAGCTTGGTAATGCTGTAGACCAAGTTAGTTTCTCGTCTCCGGATAACAATGGATACAATACACCACTTACCCCCATACCACCACGCCGTCAAGGATGTTACCCCAGACACGGGCCACGGTGGAACTGAGTTTTCCATAGGCGTCGATCGCGTCGTCATCAAAGAGACTCCGCACCTTGCTGTAGAGGGCAATCTCAGCCTCAGTAGCCGGCTCCTCGTCATGTTCCAGGCGATAGAGCCAGAGACTGAGAATGACCATCAAATCCAAGCCACAGAGCGGATGCTCCACACTCCAGTTCGTGGCGGAGGTCTTCGCAACCCAGTTGATGCCCTGGACAGCAGCAATTTCAATGCATTCGAAGCACTGTTGGATGACCTTGTTCATCTCCGTAGACCGTTTCACCTTGTCACGAGCGACCGTCATAGCCGCGGCAACCTCATAGGACGAGTGATAACGGAGCGCCTCCTGGACAGACTTGAGGTCGACTTCGAGCCGAGCACGGGTGTTGCGATAGATGGCCATGGAATTGAAGATGAGAGGGTGGCCCTTTTGAGGAGTACTCAGAGGAACCACGATCGTCTCCGGCTCACACACGTCAAGCGAGTTCTCCCACGTCTCCAGAGCAAGACGAAGCTTGTATTCCGTCACAACATCCTGGAGGGCTTCGAAACTACGCTTGTGGCTCCACACTTGAAGGAACAGTGCGTTGATCATGACCCGCGTAGCGAAGGCGCTGTATCGCGTCTGCTCACCCTGGAAGAGGCGGTCGTGGGCTTCCCGAACGGTGATGACAGTGGAGGAGGCCAGGCTGCGACGCCAGGTTTCCTCATCCGTAGCTTCGAGGTTCCACAACGATTCGGATGACGGGAGCTCCAAGCTGTCAAGTTCATCCAAGCTCATCCCAGGCGTGTGATTGAACGTTAACGTGAGCATGCCGAAGAAGATGTAGACGGCATAGTAGGTCCGACGACACGTCTCGTCCTCGATCCATTCCTCACGGGTTGGTTGTCTGCCCTCGCGTGCTTCCGTTCGGAGCTTCAGTTGGTATCGATTGCCAGCGACCATCTGGACATGGGGTCAGCACAAAAACTGCAACTTCGAAGACGACAACCGGTGGTGTAAATGTGGGAGAACTTACGTTGGCAAGCAGACTCTTAATCGAACAGGTCCACTCCAATCCCTTGGGGTCACCACTCCAACTCTCGAAGATCATGTTCAAAAGCGTGCTCTGCATGGCCCACAAAGGACATTTCCTCGAGTCAAAGTTGTCTTTCTGCTGCAAGAACTGGTTCACAAGCACCTTGGACCCAACGTGAAGCATGAAGGCGTGCTCACGCTCGAAGGTGTAAAGAGCCCCGATGGAAAGCACGGCAAGCAACAAAGGCGGGGACGCAGTCGTGGGCTTGAACGAACCCTGGTGCAGGAAAGGCAAATGGTGGTGGTAGAGGTTGAAATACGTAGACAAGTACTTATTCAACGCAGCCGTATTAGGCAACTGGAAGCCCTCGGGTAACGTTGACAGACTGTCTGCGGCCTTCACCCGATCCACAATGATTTGCCGCTCCATATCGTTTGCGATTTGGGGAGCCTTTGGAGATGTCAGTGCTTGGCTCGGCCCTGGGGACCGGCGGTAGTTGACAGGGCTGACAGGACCAGTCATTGACGGGTACGGTGACAGCGCATTGGGAGTGGAATTGCCCGAAACTGGCAGCGAGTCCACCAGAGAGTGCACGGACGGTGCCAGACCATCTCTAGAGACATGCCGGTCCATGATCGAAGGCAGCTGATGCGTATGTGAACCACCGTCCTGGGAGGTGAAGCTTGTGTTCATGGAGTGGTGCTTGGAATCTGTGGGAGACACGAGCGTGTCCCATGGCATCTGCGGAAGCGTCGCGTTTCCAGACAGGTATGCAACAGGAGGCTCCAAGAGGGGCCCACGACCAGGCGAGTAAGACGTATCAGAACCAGAACGCTCATGGACATTATTACCCGTAGCAGCTGCCGCGGCCTTGTGTTGGAAATCTGTCATCAACATGGCTGCAGTTTCAAGGTCGACCATACCATCGCTGCTTGCCTCGATCTGTTCCAAGGTGGCTGGGTCGATGGTAATTGATGGCTTTGACGGCCCTGGAACGGGAGAAGTTTTCTGGACGCCGGAGTTACCACCACGTCGGCGTCCCTCGCTCACAAGGGGGACGCCACCATCCTTCGCGTGGACGGTGCGGTCATGGCGAAGGAGGAGATCTCGGCGCACAAATGTGCTACGACATTTGAGGCACTTGAAGGGCCTCTCTTTGGTATCTATAAAGGGAGATTGTCAGTACAGAACGCGCAACAAGCCTGCAATCGCAGAGATCGCGACAGGATGGCGGTATGTCCCAACAAGGGAGGCCTTGGGGGGATTGAGGACTTACGGGATCGCTCATGTCGGCTTCGATGTTCACTTCGGCTGAAAGCACGATTACAGAACTGGCACTTGTACTTCTTCTCCGGAGCGGAGGTCTTCTTCGCCGGGGAATTGCTGGTCGCGGCGGGGACGGTGGGAGCCATGTCAACAGAGTGTGCGGAGCGGTGTAGACGATCCTCTTCTCAATACGTTGACGGCGACGAAGAAAACGAATTGGCTATGAGCCGTGCTGTACGCTCGCACCGTGTCTGGAGGCGGTTTAACGACGGGGAGGATTCGGGTTGATGGCTGATCATTCCTTGGGCGGGGGAAAGTGTGAAAAAGGGAATAACGGGAAGGTGTCCAGCCACAGGCGGACAGGCGAGAACAGGAATAACGGGTCGACGACCAGAATCGAAGGCTGAGGATTAGGATAAACGAAGCCGACAGAGGAGGGGAAGGAGGGGGAGGGATGTTGAATCGGGAGGGTGAAAAGAAAAGAGGGAGGAAGGGAGGAAGAGAAGAGGCGGGATGTTGAATTTGATGAGGAGAGGGAAGACGGGAGAAGAGTCGAGGACGGGGGGGGTGTGGTTTTACCCTGGGCAGCGCGGGCCGTGGGCAGAAGACGACGGGGCGATCGCTGGGCCACGAGAATAGCGAGGCGCGCGTGTGTCCGGCGGCGGTGCGCTCTCCAGACAACAAAGTTCCAGGCGAGGAGTCAGCAGCCCGAGAAAGGCGTCGGGCGGGCCCAGGGAGGGGAAAGGGGGGCAGCTGCGATTCCCGAGGCCCGTCTGCTACGCCCACGCACGTCCGGGGGCTGCCGCCACGCACCGCGCTAAGCCGGCCTGGCTGACACCTAACCGTTTGCTCCTTTTGCCCAGCCGTCTCGCAGGCTCGCCCACCTCACGCTACGCTCTCGCCTCCTGACGCGGTATGGCTGGGCAATCGAAAACAACATGCGTGTCGTCCCAACCACCAACAAGAAAGGGGAAACCACCAGATACCAAACGCGCCGTCGGCCCATGACAGCCCACTGGGCGGGCCTCCCAACCCGTCATCCCGGTACGGCCGGGGTCCCTGCTTAGCCTGCTGCTTCGGTGGTTGCACCCGCCTTGGAAGGCACAGGATCACACATGAATGATTTTTGATCGCACAACTCACAGAGCCCACAACAATGATAATGATAGTCAGACGAGTACAGAGTATAGGGCGCTTCCTTCCTGCTCCTGAAGGCCCGACATTGGCCCAAAGTGGGCTGTTAGTTCGGTGATTTGTGCCCTATTATTGCTGATAGTACGTGAGGGGGGCTGTCCTGCATGAGATCGTATTCTGTGGTACACCGTAAGATCGACTACAGTCTGTACCTGACAATGTACTAAATGTACTGCACGTCAGTACTCTACGTGTCCTCTACGGAGTATCTGTCTCTCATTCTCTTTCCTACTCGTCCGGACAGAGAACGGGAGGAATAACTTCGTCAGGTCTGCTGGATTCCTGGAATCTCCCTGTCATTATTTGAGTATTTCACGAGTCACATAATCCTATCGCTCCTACTGCCTGGGTCGCGAGTCGCGAGTCGCGACCAAATGTCGCTGCATAACCGCAATCTTGGATACATCGGCTGCGGGGCCGCGTCAAAGCCCGGTCTCACCTGGGCTCTCCAGCCTTCCGGCGACGCGACTAACCACACGCACCGGCTGCCCCTCCCCCTCCTACCTTCTGTTTTGGACGGGCCCCTCTCGCCCAGTGGCCTGCTAGCATAGGCTATAGCCCTATCCCAGGGCAGCAGTGCCATTCCATGCCTAGACTGGCTGACTGCCGGGCAATGAGGCGTCCGTCGACTTGGCCCCCGTCGCCAGTCGCCTCTTCCCCCTCCATAGCGTTACTTGTCGGGCTCGCCGCTCGTTGCACATTCCCAGCCTCCCGAACAGGCTCCCCTTATAATCATCATCTCTTCTGGCCCCCTAGCTTACTCCTACCCTCTCTCAGAGCATCTATTGTATACTGGTCCAAAATGGCCAACGGCGTCGCATTTTCATCACACCCGGCGACTGCGTACGCGCCTGGTAGACGTGGAATAGCCCCTCTAGCTCCCTGACCGTTTGCCCCCTCCCCCTCCATGACCCCTCTTCAACGCCAGCAGTCGATCAAGATCAGCTGGACCGAGTCTTGTGTGTTATTCCTCAAGGGAGATACGAGATTAGGAAATCGGGGACGGAGGCTAGAACTCCGGAGGTCCTTGCAGATACGTGTGAGGCTGTGGATCATTCTGAAAGGAGGAAAATGTAGGAATATTCCAGGTCCCTGACAGGTACTCTGCTGCTGCTGCTGCTGCTGGCGGCGCCGCCGGATCTCTGTAAATCGACTTTGCTCGGGTTCCTGCCGGGGTGAGCCACATCATCCCGGAGGGGATCCCTGCCCACCAGTGAGAGGGCGCCAGCAAGCAGGGGAGCGAGCTGAGCGACGCGAGAAATGAGCTGTCCCTCCCCCCCTCCTTGACGGCCGATGGATCCTGTGAGTGGCGGCGGGGACGGAGTCGGCCGTAGATCGAGAAGCGCTTCGCGTCTCCACGGGTCACGCCGTGTGGCTGTTGCAGGTGCTGTGCCACAGCACTTCCGAAGGGTCCGTCGCTGTCGCGCGAATGATGCCAACTGGCCCTCTGCTAGCAGGTCACCTGCGCTGGCGGGTGCAGGTCATTCAGCAGAATCAGTGCTGCAGGGTGGCCAAACAGCAGCCAGAAAGGAGCACCAAGCTGCCCAAACAGCAGCCCAGCTCGCGTTCACCTGGGCATTGAATCCAAACCGAGATGCTTGGCAGGCTGAGAGCGGTTCTTTGCTGATGTGCCGCCACGACGGCGCGCCAACAGCCTCACCCGATCAGTCAAGACGCGCGCTCTTCCCGCGTCACTCGTCCAGCGGAATAGAAACCCTTTCGGCATCCGCGCCGGTGTCTCGCCAGGTCGATGCTGGCCACGACACGACCACGTGTTCTGCGGTTTTCTTGCCCATCAGGGGCCTGTTTCCCCTGCAGAAGTCAGCTGGACGCATCCTTCGTAACGGTTCTCCGAGCAGGATTTCTCTATCCTCGACAACAAGCTACTATCACTATCGCATCACGCCGCGCTGCCGCACCTGGAAATCCTACCTCTGATTTTCGCCTTGAAATTTCGGAATGCACAGTGGGGTAGTCAATAATTGCCCCACCACCCAACGTTAAATGTCTCTAATGTTGACGGAGGGAGCCAGGAGCCAGGAACTGGGTTACTAGGGAAACCGCCATGGCAGCCAGGCCCGGTTGGACGGTGATTATTACTTAATATCCGCTCTTATTGGAGGAGAGGATCGACTCTCACGTGAGCAGATCCCCCTCCTTCCGAGTGGCTCAAAATCGCTTGCAGGCTTCAATTACTGACTTGCTGGGCAGGGCAGCTTGCTTCCCCCTTCCTTGAAGAGCCGGAATGTCCCTACACAGAAAGAACCTTTGCGCCTCCCCACTGCTGCAGCTTTTGCAGGAGACCCATTCTTCCATGCACCTAATACGCTCTTTTATCCAGCACAACGCTCCATAGTATGTACAGGTACCTAGGCGTCGGGATAAGGGCTGTTATCCGTGTTAGTGTGAGGAGTGTCCTCTTCACCGCTTTCATCTGCCCTGATTTCTCGGAGAGCGGTGAGTCGCGTGGATGACCAGCTTGCAGTCCCGTTGGCAACACGGACCGAGACTTTGCGCCGCTGCTCCCACGTCCAGCCACTCGATTTTTTTTTCTTCCACTTGCTCTGCTCCACTTTCCGTCCCATGCAGCGGTCCGTCCCAGTCCAACGCCCGTCAAAGCCGGCATAGCAGTCACGCATCTTGGTTGTCTTTTCCACCGCCAGATCTAGCGGATCCGTGCCAGGCGGGATGAAAGGGAGATAGCTTTATGCTTGCGCATTTCCCCACCAGACAAATGATGTGTTGAGACGGGCGGGACCTGAATTTAGAGCGTTGAGTGGCAGACTGGCAGCTGCTCCCTTGCGGGCCTGCAGAAGTGCAGATACCCGCTCACTGGCCCCGAAATTTGGGTGGCCATTCATGTTGCGGCAAGAGCTTCGCTAAGGATTCGGACAGGCTCCAGCGCTCCACTAGGTACCATTATTGCAGGATTCAGGAACGCCTTCCCCGGGTCCGTCGCAGCCTTAATCGGGTTCAGTTGACACCAGGCGGTCGCAACTTTGAAGCAGCTCCGAGCCTAGAAGTCTGGATTCTATTCTGGTCCCGATGGTGAGGACACCGCCAAAGAGCTTGCCGGTCTGTGATCCCAAAAAGTTCAGCAACTTCGGGTCTTTGGAGTCGGTGAGAAATCCTCAACAAGAGAAATCGAGTCTGTTCTCAACTTCTCGTTGACCGCCTCTGCTTCACATTCCGCAATTACTGCTGGCGTAGGTTAGTAGCTCCACCGTAAGTTACGTGTCAAGCCTGATTGTTCTCTTACCGTCATTGGACCGTTTACACGTGTCAGGAAATCGATAATCTTGTGTCTTTTTCGTGGTTGTTAACGACATCCTGAATTTGGATTTCCGGGTTTTGTGCGTTGCTGGATATCTAGGGAGACAACAGGCTTCATTGGGAAAGGCGGTCACAGTCCACACAAAAAGGATGGCTGTTTGGATTCGAGCCTATCCGTGGTCCTGGATCATCACCGTCGTCTCCTGGCCAGTTTGTTGGATCCGGTGGGTAAAAAGGGGGGCATTCCCGCTTCCCCGAAAGCCTCCTTGAAATCCTAATTGCCCCTGCGGAACGCCGCCGGCAACCCTGGCCGGCTAGCGAGTGTGCTCCTTACAACTAAAGTAACGTTGTATTCGGGGCCGTCTCCGTTTAGAGAGCTCAGTTGCTGCGAGCAAGGAGCTCCAGACTCCAGAGAGCTCTGGCTCCAGACGGAGGACGGAGGATTACCATGGATCGTGATGGATGCCCCAGTCCACTATCAGCATCATGACCCAAGGAAAGGGAGTCGAGGTTATTTGCACCTCATCTGAAATGAAATTCCTCTAGAAAGAAGCCAGTTTTGACTTGGTTGTCCGACATACCCACAGTGTCGTGAGTCGTAACTTGTCACTTCAAAATTGCAAGAACACCAAACATCCGGTTGGCGGATGCAGAGTTCAGATCTGTCCCGACGGAGATGCCAGGCATATGCAAGATGCCATCGTACATGGACAAACGAGATCGCATCCGAGAGGAGAGCCAGTAAAATCCCTGCGAATGCATCTCTACTCTGTAACGCGTACGGAGTACCGCAAGAAGAAACCTCAACTACAGTTTACTCTGTAGATGAGATCCACACTTATTCGGTTTGTTGCTAATATTCCCGGTCATTCCGGGTTAATAAGTGGGTTGTGTCTGCAATACAAAAAAAAAAGAAATACTCCGTACTCAGTATATCGACGAATCGTCGATTATGGATTGTATTCAAATTTTATGATACCTCAGATGAAGGAGGACTCGAGGAGGGGTACAGACCAATAACCCCGCCATCTAAGTAATACCCCTCCTTCACCATCTATCAGGATGAGTCATTCAGATCCAGGACTAGACAGATTCCCATGATAGAGATTATGAAGTGCTACGCAAAAGCAACTGACCTCACGCACCTGCGGAATAATACTCCGTACGGCGTACTCCATACAGAGTTCGATTCGCATTCAATTCAATTATTATTATTATTTAGCCAGCGACTGCCAATCAGCAGCCAGGCCTGCTGGCAGACGCCTGCCTACGGTAGGGCTAGGGCTTTGGCGAGCCCACAAGGAGGGAGGATTTCGTTGAACCTTACAGTACTAGTAGACCTGTCATTAATACGATGAGCAGAGCTCTCTTTGGAAGTCTGGGACACATGTTTTTTTTTCTTTCTATCAACTAATAACAACTCTGTAGTGTAGTTTCAGGCAGGGCTGACATGCTGAAATCAGAGATAATATAGAGTAATAGATGTGTGGTAAAGGGCGACTCGTTGATAGAACTCCGTATAGTAATGGTCCCCGCTGCCTGGTCACTAAGATAGTACTGTACAGCTGCGGCTGCGGCTGCGGCTGACAAGAGACCAAGAAACAAGGAAACAAAGAGACAAGGATCAGCCAATTTGACAGACTCCTGCATTGATTATTGGCCAGCATAAACTAACTCATGGACTTGCGTAAACATGTGTACTGTATGTGTATGTGGTTAATTGTGATAGGTATGAATGATGACTCAGGAGGGGTACTACTGCATGGTTCCTCTGTGTTGTATGCTGTGAGACTAGGACATCAAAATTAAAAATAGCAACGGCAATGGCGATGGCAATAATGCGTGGTGTCATCATCATCAATGCATTCTTGATTGATTGATTGGCTCTTTTTCTTTTTTTTTATCTAATTTTCAGAGAGCCAGGAATGGGCCAAAAAAAAAGGGGGTGTGGAGGGGAAAGAAAAAAAATGCCACTCGAGGAGTGTATCAATCCACTGCAGTATTATTGTGTGTATACACAGTGCAGTTTTCGTGATAAATGATATTATTATTTTGTTTCCCTGTAGCGACATCGTCTGGTTGTATATTATATATTAATCATTGATTGGTGGATTATTGAGCATATATATCTATATATATCCGTGGATTATAATATCTTGCTCCGGAGGACAGGTTTGTCCTATATATGAGAACTTATTAGGGTCATTTATTATTATATATACGCAATCATGACTACGGAGTCTGCCAGAACAAATATTCAAGTCTCAACAAAAAAAAAAGAGAGAATGTGTGTGTCGAGGGAGGGAGACTTGCCCCTACGGAGTTTTCTATGCATACATCGCTGGTATATATCGTCAACGTCGTTGAATTGGGTTCGTTTCGTCCGTTTTATGGTATGCTATATACTTATGATATAGACACGAACTGACAAGGAGGGTGAATGAAGACAAGGTATTATTGCAATGAAATATAAAACTCGTCTTTTTTGGGTACTAGACTGATCGATTAGTTTCGAAGTGTTGTATATATATATATCGGTTGATCCTAGAATCCTGTCTAGCGATATCTATATCTACATTACATAGAGAGGATGATGAGGTTCATACATGCAGACTCGACTGAGCTCCCTTTATTTTTATAACCGAGAAACTTCGAAATGTCGATTTGACTGATCCCGTGGACTTCTTTCTGATCAAGGACTTCTTTCAGACAGTTGAGGCTGGTCTCTCTCTCTGTATTGTACCGCGTCCTAGGCAACGGACAGACTTGCGTTGATATACGATATTTACATACAAGCATCAAGGCTCGTTCCTCTCGTCTATACTCCGTATACATATATATGATACATATATATGCCACAAATCAAGAACAACCATCCAAGTCAGGCATCACTTGCATGTACAGTACAGTACACGTATATATACGCATGTACGTGCGCATCGTCAGTTTTCTTCAGCAGCAAAAACCCTCCTCCCGTCAAACCAGGTCTGTAGCACTCGAGCCTGCAGCAACCGGTCCGGCGACCATTCCATGTCGACGACGACGAAATCCGCCCTTAGCCCTTTCTTCAACCGCCCGGTGAGACCGTCCGCAAAGCACGAATAGGCCGCGCCGGCGGTCGCCGCCGTCATGGCGCTGACCAGCGGCAGCGCGAAATGCTCGTTCACCTTGGTCACTGTCTCTGGCTCACGGGCGGACCGTCTCGTCGTCGCGATGTAGACGTTGGGCAGCGGTGCCCATGGCGCGGACGGGGAATCAGATCCCAGAGCCAGGGTCGCGCCACCGTCGAGGAATTCCTTGTATGCAAAAGCGCGACGACAGCGCTCGGCGCCTAGCAGCGTGGGCCATGCTCGTAGGATGGCCGGGTCTGCGCGCACTGGCTGCACGGAGGCCGTAATTCCCAGCTTCCCCAGTCTCTGCGCGTCTTCCGGCGTAGTCATCTCCAGATGCTCGATGCGATTTCTCCGCGAAGGGGTGCCGTGCTTCTCAAGGACATCCAGAGCCGTCCGGACGGTTTTGTCGCCAATCGCGTGAAGGGCGCATTGCAAACCTGCCTGATTCGCGCGATGGACGACCGGTGCCAGCATCTCTGCCGTCCAGAGCGGCTCGCACGAGACGCCGTTGCTCGAGTACGGCTCCAGGAGAGCCGCAGTGCATGAGTCAATGACCCCGTCGCAGATGACCTTGATGCCCGCGATGCGGAAATCCGGGGACGTGTCCAGATTGAACTGCTTGTGCAGCGCAATCGCCTTGTCCACCTGCGCCAGATTGCTCGCCTCGTCCGGTGACGGCACAATCAGCCAATGCGCCGCGACTCGCACGGGCAGCTTTCCCCCCTCCTGCTCTCGCAGGAGCAGCAACGCCTCCCACGCGTTCTCGCCCATGGCCATTTCGACGATCCCCGTGTATCCTGAGGCTGTGTATGCGGCGAGTGCTGCCCGAAGCGCATCTAGCTTGTCCTCCATGGACGCGACGCGGGCGATATGCGGCCAGACCAGGGAGAGGACGGCTGCTTCGCTCAGGAGACCCGAGGCTTTGCCATTGGCATCTCGATGAATCGTCCCTCCGGCGGGGTCAGCCATGTCCTCGACGCCGAGCTCTCGAAGCGCGGCACTGTTGCACCACGTCGAAAGGAGGTCCTTGGAATCGATGAAGATGGGCCGCGGGTCGAGGTCGTCGAGCATCGTCGCGAGGGCTTCTCCACCGGTCATGTGCTGCATCCAGCCCTTGCACAGGATCCGAGGCGCCTGGGGATGCTGGCCTGCGTAGTCCTTGATGCGGGCGCGAATCTCGGCGAGGTCCCTGCAGCCGCCGAGGTCGAGTTTCTGCAGCGATTGACCCAGCAGGAGGAGGTGCATGTGTCCGTCGATGAAGCCCGGAAGGACGTACTTCTGCTGGAGATCCTGCAACACGGCGCCGTTCGCTTTGGCGTGCTGGACCGCTTCGTCTGTTGAGCTGCCTACATGGGCGATGGTGTCGTTCTCGACGATCATGCACTCTGTGGACGACCCGTCAGACGAATCTCCGGTAAAGAAGCGGCCATTGAAGAAGATGGTGGTTGAAGTCTTTTTTCCCCCCAGGTCAATCAATCACTTCATATCATAACAGATTGTTGCTCCTCCACAAAGTTGAGATCAGGGCCAGTCGTTCCTGTAAGAGATATAGCTAGTTCAGTTCCAATGTCTTTTTAGATATTCAGCAAGCCTGTTCTGTCTCATCAATGAGATGGCGAGAAGCAGCAGCGTTCACGACAGACGAGTAGTAACACGCGATAGATAGGTCAGTTGGTCTGTTTGCTTTGGCACCAAATATCTATATTAAATCATCTCAGTTAGCTGACCAGGTCAGGAAAAACCGCATTGACATGAATACCTCAACAGGATATAGCGATTGTATCGTTCAGCGATGGAGATGGGTTTTCTGGGGATCACTGACAGCTGAATCTGAACCCCACGTTGGAAATGAAATGCGGGGAAGGGCGCCTAAATATCTAGCAAAAGAAGGTTCCATTATTATTAAAGAAAATCAAGTAAGCAGGGGCTTGACAACTACGCCGTCAGTAATAATAATGATATATAGTTAATATTTCCTCAAAGAGAGGAGTGAGGGTGGAAAAAAAGTATCGTGTATTCCAAAGCGATATTCTTGACAGTCAATCAGGAAAGTGTATCAGCTGACACAAGTTTCTTTCTTGTCTGCAGTTAACAATCAACTTCCCACTGACAATCCCGAAATCTCGACTTAGTTACTTGGATGTTAGTAAGTTATACGCTGTATAGCTCGATCAATTCGATTGATAGGGAGGACGTAATTAGTTAGCTGTATAGTATATATATACCTGGCTGGGATGTCTATACAGATCACTAATGTCCTGACCTGAAATCGAGACGAGTCTGACAACTAAGGTATGAGCTTAATTACCTTACCAAGGATATCGACCACTTGAATCTACTGCAACAAGGAGGTCCAGACCAGTCCAGGCCAGGCCATATATCATCGGTTCAGGAAACCAGGATAGTTGGAGATAGACAAAGACAAAGACAAGATTTGCCTGGATGGGAAAGAAAGACCCAGGAGTTGATTTTTTCGCGCTGACAAATCCCCAAAACCTTATTCAGTCTATGAGTTCGCAAGAGGGCGCTTTTCTAAACGATATGTCTTTTCAGTCGTCTGTTGAATATTGTTCATGTGAAACCTGACCCCTTTTGTCGTTGTCCTTTGCGTAGCAGTAGCACTTGTTCATTGACCGGCTATGGTAATATGACTAATTCCAGCGTAGGCAGCAGAAACAGCGATAATACTCCGTAGATGGAGTAACGATACACGCATCTGCAATGATCTCCACCGTATCAGGCTGATGTCAGCAGTATTGGCCATTGCCCCCAACACGTGGGGGAGGGACTGGCAACCTCGTTCGACGCAACTCGCCGAAAAGGGATGGTACTAGAAAACCCATGGAAAAATGGGAAAAAAAAGAAAGCCATCCTATGACAATTTGGAATATTTTGCAATAATCCATATAGCTGCATGCATAGAACTATGCAAGGGGCGGCGTGGCGTCTCAGATGGGAAATAATGAGTGTGTGCTGCTTGCAGTTGACTACTATCTGCTTATACACTCTGTGCTGCCGCACACAGGATTCGAATCGCTGTATGCTTTCCTGTAGGGGCCGACGCATGTGAGATCGTCGGGCCGTTGACGATCAATGTTGCTTGATGCTGAGTATTAGTCTAGAAGTCTGGTAGAATAATCATCCAACGGGCCCGTGGCGCTTCGCGCCGCAGCGTCATCGACGACCATTTTGGCGAGTGAGAACTAGCAATCCTCGTGATGGGAGCAGAACCATCAGACTAATGCATGGAATGATCTTCATGCCGGTGTTGGGTCATGCGGGCCAAACTGCAGGATCGCTGGCTTGGAACTTGGGCCATTTTGGGGCCAATACGGATGGAACCATATGATCGAGGTGGTGTGTAGCGTATATGTGCAGCCGTGATTCATACTAGCATGGTCTCGTCATGGTGTGAAGCAGTGAGCAAGGAGCAGCGCACTAGACATTCCATGTCGTAGTCCAATGGATCGTGATACTGCCTCTACATAGAGAGTATGAGGTGTCGAGCCTTGGTATCAGGATTCAGGACATGAAGCAAGCATGTCAATGTCCATCCCTGCAAGGTATGCCTGTTGGATAGTATTAACAAGGAGAGGCAAACGCGATACGCATACCTCCTTGGTGTCACTAATCGAGGACTGCGTGGTTTGCCTGATTTTTGGTCGAGCTCGAAGTCCTACACAAAGACGTCCGAAGTGATGGATCATTGCAGGGAGGGGTCGATCGGCGCTATCACGTAGATATGGGTTGATAGCTCAGAAGGCTGGAAGCCTGGAACTCTATCTTGAGTCATTCATGCTCATTCCATGCTTCCACTTGCCGCAACTCATTCTCCATTATCGCCGATAATTCGTTGTTATTCCGTACTAGTTCGAAGGACTGACTGTTATTGTTCGATAGACACTGTGATTAAGGTCCCAAGGTATTGGACGCTGGCACAGCTGGATTTCAACACAGAGTACGGAGTACCCCGTACGTACTGCCCTCCAAAGTCTGAAATGATAGATAGTTACCCGATCCAGATAAAGTAGCTGATAGTAGATAGTACTATCCCGTACTATTATTCTCGCGGAACTCAATCCGTTCCCAGTAGCCAGGTTCTGGGAATATTCGACAAGAACGGCTCACCTCGATCATGGAGCCGAGGTACGGCTTACTCCCGATTGAGAATAGCCCCGATATTAGACCGTTCCATGTGAGCAGACCGGGGTAGAGGGCGAATTGATTGACTAGAGACTCCGAGCCTGGCTTCAGCATCGAGTTGTCGTTTGCCGTTGTACCACTTTCGGGTTCTCGGCATTGGACCATAATGGATGAAATCAAGCCCCCCTGTAATCCGTATGGAGTACGTTCTCGAGCTCAACTTCCAAGAGGCGAGATGATGATAGTCACAATGAATAACTACGACAGGCAAAAGACAGTCGCGGAGTCGCGGCCTTCATTCGTTAGCGGCAGGGGCCAAAAAGAGCCAGCTTGGACGGAAGCGACTGAAGTACGGAGTAGAGGACTAGAGATGGAAATTCTTCCCCACAGCTCCAATTGATGAGATGATCAGCTGCGGTTAGACTGTACGGAGTATAGCACAGTGCACTGGATCCCTCCTGATAACTTCCAAGAGAAGATGGCCTCTGGAGACGATGAATGAGGGCAAGTTAATAACTAACTGTTAGCAACAAAACGTGCTGAGTCTCCCTAGCGTGGCGGATCAACGGTCGCGCTTAGCCTGTTCCAGGGACTAGGGAGACGCGTTGCAATTGTCTCGCCATGACTCGTGAAGGAGTCAACTGCAGGGTACAGTACAACAGCAGTGGCAGGAACAGTGAACAGATTCTCTTTTGAGCATTCGATGATGCGCCACAGGAGGTTTCGGTGCTTCAGAGAGAGCAAGTCGGCGTGCAACGTTTCTGGATTGTTGCTGCCGTGTCACATGAGCCGGACCGCCAGTCGGCAGAGCGTGGTTGCGGACTCGGTTCTTTGCAGACGGATATCGAATTCGATATAAAGACCTCGCGAAATATACTTACTCCCTGTCTTCTGTAATATTAATAAGGAGCAACACGATTAGACATGAATCCATCCCGCCGAATTTTTTTCTGCATCAAGTGTCCGTGCCATTCTGATCGGAATCTCGGGGAGAATCATCTTTCTGCGCCCCTGAGTCCTGACAGCTGTCATGATGCACTTTGCCTGCTGCGCAATAAGCATAGTAGAACGGGCTGCCGCCTGCAGAGAACTGGCAGGGATTCCCGCAGGTCCGCGGAAGCACGGGACACACGGTGACACGGCCCTGATGCCCTGCACCCAGACCAGCAGCCCGTCTGAGATGCAATGATGGCGATGTGATGAACGAGTGGCGCATCGGACGTCCTGTGTCCCTGGCTCAAGTCTGGTGGTTATTCGCGAATGTTCCTTTCCCCTTAGCCTATCTCCAATTCTCCATGGCCTGCGCAGGTACGCCTGAGGGACAGTCGAGCAGCCGGGAGCCTGAGCGCAGGCCAGCCAGTGCTGGTCGCGGGAGACTGTGCGGTGCCGTGGTGGTGGCCGGCTGCGAATCAGCAGGCGGCTACAGCCGCGATCTCTCCACCCCACGGCACGGCCGCACCGCCGAGTGGCCCTGCAGGCGTCTTGTGTGATGAGGAACCACGGCCGTCGCCTCTTGGCCGGCCAGCTACCAATGCGATCCCGGTGGGCGAGGACGCCGCCGAGTGGCTGCGCTGGCGGCCAGCGAGGCCCGGTGGACGGTGGGAGCTCGGAAGACGAATGGGCCGGGCATGGCATGGCGGGGTGCGCCAGACCGGGGACCTCCCTGGGCCTGTCCGATACGGTACGTTACAGTACAGTACGACCAGAATACCTCGGTAGCGCCGTGTTGTCGCAGTAAATGCCACGAAATGGTACGGTAGCAGCAGTACTAGAACCGGTCTTGCGATAACAGCCTGTATTTCGGGAAGGCGTTAGCTGCCAGTAATGGCCCGACCGCCCATGGACCGCTGGCCCAGACACTTGACTGCCATCGCTGGCTCTTCGTTTCAGGCCCCAACGGCGCCAGTTTCCTTCGAATCATTGAGGACAGAGCCAGAGGACGTCGTTCGACGAGCAGGTTCGCGGTAGTGTGGAGGTTAGCACGATTCAGCAATGTGCATCGCGATCATCCCAATTTCTGCAAACTGCCATGTAGTCGTCTTAGGGCATCGTGCTGTACTCCGTCCGACTGTAGTTCCACCAACGCTCCCAAGGTCGCAATGCTTAGGTAGGCTAGTTCGCGCAGTGTCTGCTCGGGGCACCGCCGCAACAAGACTCCGGACTCGTTCAGCGTCTGAGACAGTCTCCAGCTGCCTCGACGCTGCGGAGGCAGAACGAAGTTAGGAACAGGCCCCTCATCTACGCATTCCGCTGCGAAGCATCAATCGACATCCACCGTTCTGAGTGGTCCAGGGGAGACGCCTGTCTGGTCGTGTCTGGACGTCTCGCGGGCCGCTAAACTTTTCAGCGTCCGATAGCCTTATCCGGCCTCCACCTCCACTCCTGTGCCGTCCCCATCCACTCACTGTCTCGCCCGCCGTCGTCCACCAACCTCCCTACTGCTGAGCCCAGGCCCTGCTTCTCTCTCATACCTACTCCGTACTCCGTGCTCCGTACTTCTCTTCGGTCCCTTCTCTGCTGCGTCAAGGACAGCCGTTCTTCCACCGTATTTTCGTCGTGCGCTCGCTCTTTTGAACGTCTTCTGCCATCTCGAGCCCCGAGCAGGTCGCCCCTCACTCGTCCCTGGTCCCTCCTTCCCGATTTCGGCAACTGCCCTCTGCTCCTTCCTCGCCTGGCTTGTATGCGTCTGCCACCCGCCTTCCTCGTGTCGAGTCATGAGACTTCGCGTCTGAGTCCGCCCAACGAGCCCTGCGAGAACGAGGACTTCGTTCAGGACTTCTGGGATCCGTCCCAACCCCGTGCCAGGCCATGTACCAACCTGGAGCCGCTGAGCCGGTGACCTTCAATTCTTCGTCTGGCTTCGGCACCAAAACCTCCACGTTTGCTACCACTTTCCACTACTCCGAGGAGCAACCGGGAATGACCACGTCTCCCGCCAGGACCGGCGGTCGCCAGCGCAGTCAATCGGTGCAGAGGAGAGACGACGCTGATCTGGACCCGTCGTCTCCCAGGCGCCAGAAGTCGCCCATGAAATTGACCGAATCGCCGCCGGCACTGTATGTGCGGGCGTTGTACGACTACAATGCAGATGATCATACGAGCCTCAGTTTCAGACAGGGTGATGTGATCCAAGTCCTGAACCAGCTCGAGACGGGCTGGTGGGACGGCGTGATCGGGAACGTCCGGGGCTGGTTTCCCAGCAATTACTGTGCAATCATCACTAATCCAGAGGAGATCGAGGAGCTCTCCCGCCGTCCGACCACTGACGGCGGTGAGACCAGCGCCGCCGAGTCGGGCGTGGAGGATGACTATGACGACGAACATGACGATGACGAAGTCGATTCCGATGGCAACCCTCGCGACTCCAATCCGATCCTGCCGATCGAAGGTGCCCGGTCTAGTGAGCCCGAGGAGGCCGCTTTCTGGATCCCTCAGGCGACTCCGGATGGTCGATTGTTCTACTTCAACACCTTGACGGGTACCAGCACCACGGAGCTGCCGTTAGAGAACCCGTTGTTGGCAAACGAATCCGGTCCTCGCGATCGGAACAACTTCCACGTGCCCGATCAGACTCGCCCGCCGCCAGAGATGATGGCCCGCGGTGTTGAACGCGATGAGGACGAGTACGACGGATCGGGATCCGAAGGGGAGGGAGAGTCGTTGATGCTGGCTTCCCACGACTCCATGTCTCGCAGACGACCGTCCTTGTCGGATGGGGTGTCGCCTGCCACCTCGATGGACTCTCTTAACCCGTCTCCGGTGACCAAACCCCAGAGTGATGGAAAGCCCTTGTCGCAACCTACCAAAGCCACTCCTCAAACGTCGAATGGGTCCTCCGCGGCGGCTGGCACGTCGACTGCCTCGAGGCCGTCCGTCTCGACATCCATCCCTCGACACTTCGTCGACGACGGCATTTCGCGCCCCGTCACTTGGTCGGACCTTGTCCAAAACATGCGCCAGGCCGTGGACGCCTACCGACAGGCCCTGCTGAACGGCGACCGCTGTGAATATGTGAGGAGAGCGGAGGACATATCCGACCATCTCCGCATGCTCCTGGCGGCTGGCTCCGACACAACAGATAACCATTCGGGAAATCCGTCTATCATCTCCACCAATCGAGCCTTGTATCCCCACTTCCGAGACATGATGTCCAAGTTCTCCAAGTTGGTTCTGTCATCCCATATTGCCGCGGCGGACTGGGCGGGTCCGGAGTCCGTGACCAAATGTCTCCAGGAAGCGGAGGGCGTGCTGCAGGGTGTACATGGCTACGTGGAAGTGGCGAGGCAGCAGCGCGGAGAAGAGATCAGGCGGATCGTTCCCGGATTCGTGCTCGACAGCACAACTGGCGGCAACTGGCAGAACAATGGCATGAGACTGAATGAGTCCACTGCGACGTCCTTCCTGGACCCGGACGGGCAGGACTCCAATCAAGAGCCGTCCGTCACCCTGGACGGGGCTGTGCTGGATCAGATCGACTCGATGAGGAAATCCATTGTTGGGAGCATTCGCAGATTGGAGGAGTGCTTGATCCTGAAACAAAAGGTGATCACCGCGGCTGACCACGAGCGGCTGGGGGAGTCCATTTGTGCGGCCGCTCTCACTGTCATCGAGCGCTATCGACCCTGGATCGCGACGGTGGAGTCGATTAACCTGGCCTCTCTGGGGACCAGCTTTCAGAATCCCCAACTGGTGGACTTCAGCATGCAGAAGCAAAGGGTTTATGAGACTATCGCCGATCTCGTTCTCAGCTGCCAGAGCGTCTCCGCTCCCTTGGGCGACGAATGGGCCGAGCTGCGGGGAGATTCTCTCGAGGACCGCTTGAACAGTGTGCGAAGCATCGCCAGGCAACTGGATAACTACGTCTCTCAGATCGGGTTTTCGCTTTCGCTCCTTCAGGAGCAAGTTCCTGACAAACCCGTTCATCCGGCGGGCGATAGCCTCTTTGATGACGAGGATGACGATCTCGATCCGTTCAAGAGTCATCGTGGGGATGCTTCGAGACGGCGAGCGACCGAATCAATGGTCTTGTCCTCCTCATATGGTCTTGGAATTGATGATGAAAATGAAAAGGTCCGACGAAATATGGAGAAGGCTCAGCGTTTCTTTGGCCAGGCCCCTCCCGCGAAGATAACGAGAGAGCCAGTGAGGGAGCCAGTCTCGATGCCCGAAGAGACTCCTTGGTTCTTGAAATTCGACCATGAAGGCGAGGTCTTCTATGACACCAAGTCTGATGTGCCGACCCTGAAATGCGGTACATTGTCGGGCTTGGTGGAGCAATTGACCCGTCATGACAAACTCGATGCGTCTTTCAACAATACCTTCCTTCTCACCTATCGCTCTTTCACCACCGCCAACGAGCTTTTCGACTTGCTCGTCCAGCGATTCTGCATCCAACCTCCACCCGGCCTGACCCCGGATGAACTGCAGATGTGGATCGACCGGAAGCAGAAGCCTATCCGATTTCGGGTGGTGAACATTTTGAAGAGCTGGTTCGAAAACTTCTGGATGGAACCGAATGACGAGGAGAACATGGCGCTTCTGCGACGCGTCTATGACTTTACGAAGGATTCCATTGCGACCACGAAAACCCCCGGCTCCCCGCAGCTGTTGACCATCATCGAACAGCGTTTGCGAGGTCAGGACCTGGGGGTCAAGCGGCTGGTTCCCACGCAGGTTTCTTCTGCACCGCCGCCGATCCTGCCGAAAAACATGAAGAAGCTGAGGTTCCTGGACATCGATGCGACCGAATTCGCGCGGCAGTTGACCATCATCGAATCGCGTCTCTACTCCAAGATCCGGCCAACAGAATGCTTGAACAAAACTTGGCAGAAGAAGGTGGCTCCGGGCGAGGCCGAACCGGCTGCCAATGTCAAGGCTTTGATTTTGCATTCCAACCAACTAACCAACTGGGTTGCGGAGATGATTCTTACGCAGAACGATGTTAAGAAGCGTGTTGTTGTTATCAAGCACTTTGTCAATGTGGCAGATGTATGGGATTTTTTGATTCTTTTTTTTTTGAGTCTCGTTCTCCAAGCTAACTATTTGTCTAGAAATGCCGCGCTATGAACAACTACTCTACTCTGACGTCTATCATCTCTGCCCTTGGCACGGCACCCATTCATCGGCTCAGTCGGACATGGGCTCAAGTCAGTGGACGGACGTCGGCTATCCTGGAGCAGATGCGCAAGCTCATGGCAAGCACAAAGAACTTTGGCGAGTATCGGGAGACGCTCCATCAAGCCAATCCTCCGTGCATCCCGTTCTTCGGTACGGATCCAGCAGATCAGATCCTCTTGTCCATAGCTTTCTAACCATCCTTTCTTTTTTTCTGTAGGTGTCTATCTAACCGACCTAACTTTCATCGAAGACGGCATCCCCTCCAACACCCCGTCCGACCTGATTAACTTTAACAAGCGCGCCAAAACCGCCGAAGTCATTCGCGACATTCAGCAATACCAGAGTGTCCCATACCAGCTGCAGCCGGTTCCGGAGCTGCAGGATTACATTCTGAGCAGTTTGCATGCCGCCGGCGACGTGCACGACATGTACGATCGGAGTCTGGAGGTCGAACCGAGGGAGCGAGAGGATGAAAAGATCGCAAGGTATGACAGAAGCAATAGAGAAAATCCTCCGTCCTTGGCTGTTGCATCATTGGTGGCATCATTGCGGTGATCATGTATAGCCCTGTGGAGACTTGCACCGTCTCCCCTTCTTTTTTTTTATTCCCCCTCCTACTTTCCTTCCCCCCCCCCCCCCCCCCCTTCCGTTTTTTTTTTACGGGGTCACGATGGATATGACCGCATTACGACGTTGCACGATACTTTCTGGATGTTATGTCACTGGATACCTGTACCACCGGGCATTTCCTGTTTGGGGCAAGGACATGTTGGGAGCGAAAGAGTAGCTGCAGATACTGGCCGAGCCATGTGCTTCACCTGTCGCCTTATCGTCTGCGATACGACGACGATGGGATAGGAGAGTCGCTGCGACCGGTTGCGGGCGTTCCCACAGGTCCCAGACTTTGATAATCCTTCCATTCTTATCTCCCCCACTTTCCCTTCATTTATACTCATCTTTTTCATATTATTCGCTGCCGACCACGAGACGGACGCTAACCTTTTGTCCATACCGTAGACTCCTCTCCGAATCAGGCTTCCTGTAAAGCGGTTGCTCGGGCCTGGCGATGGCGTTATTTCCTGCCGCTGTCATTTTAGTTGTTGCGTGCGCGGGACCCGTCACGGGATCCCTGCCAACGTCGCATCTCAGCGCGGGGTTCTCCGATGCCGCTTATCAAGTTATCATCATGCCTGCCAGGAGTCACGCGCGCTGATCGTCTTTCGAGACCCGCCATATGCATGGAAAAATCATCAAATGAACCCTCAGCTTCCAGTGCAGCAGGCCGAGTCTCGCTGGCCGCGAGTTCAGCGGCCAGCTGGAGGCTGGCATTGGCCCGTGGCCGTGGTTCCCGCGCATCGCCAACCGACCACTGAGATGCGGCTGCCCCGACCTTGCCCGGCACGCGCCAGCGCCGCTGTCCTTGGTGCATGTGACCGCCGCTGCAGACCGCAGGTAGCCGGACTGTCTTGCCAATCTGCTGCTGGTCTCTCCATTGTCTGCGAATCGTCTGCAGGAGATCTCTTGATTGACGACACACTGGTCGCTTGATGGATGCATGCATGTCAAAGAGTATACGCCAGGGGGGCCTCGCAACATGCAACCTTGATTTGGTAGGGGCCTCTTCGCTTGATGACCACGACCTCGCAATCCAGGAAACAATCTTTATTGTCGATACTATGAACCTGCTTGATGAAGTCAGGGGAGGCAATATCCCTTCCCTGGCTGCCGGCACTGGAGTGCCTGCCACAGTTGTTGAAGGCCTCTCCGACTTTGGTGCATCTCGAACCTTACAAAAGACAAGAGTACTTTTGTGGCTCTAGGTGCCGCTTTTGATTATTTTATATATACCCTCCTTCTTGACCAGCTCATCTTGCCTCACATATCTTTGTTCAGCTATATTCGCTTTCAAAGACATTCCAGTCATTTCCTTTTCGCGTTATTTACTTAACGTGGACTTGTCTGTCACTTACTCTTCGTATGTCACACTTCCACTTCGACCCCAGACGGTTCCTTTTCTTCTGTACTTTTGTTTCCTAGTATATACGGTTGGCGCCGGCCAGGGTTTGGTTACCAAAAGGATAATGACCTGTCACGACTTGATATCTGATTCCACTTTCAAGTTTCTGTCATTCCTGTCCTGTCTCCCGCTTACGTCATGGAATGTTTCTCGTTTCTCCGTTCAGTTGTAAGGGGTTCATTTGGGTCTGTAAGGTTTGCAAGGAAGCACGCGTAAGGACGAAAAACTGAAAAGTACGGAGTATCTTGTCGGAAGCCACGTATTTTGTACTTAGTTCCTTGCCTTTAAGAAGTGTTGGATATTCCGTTTACAAAAAATCTGAATATTGTATCGCTGATTTTTGGTTTGATTTCAATTGGAATCAGCTGCAATAACTAACGAAGCCTCGACATATCTTTTGGACCCGAAACGCCTATTCGCCCCCGAATACACGAAAGAAAAAAAAACAATCGGAATCGAAAAACGTTGTAAAAAAGCAATGTCGCAGATCTCATCAATAATCATGCCTGGGAACGCTGTCCTGCTGAATTCGTGGCAGTTTCCCCCACGCCCTGAAAGAGGCTTTTCTTGATCTCGGCCGCCATGAGACCGCTGACTTCTTCCGCTACGATCCGCTGTCCGTCCCGGACGACTTTGGCTAATTGCTGGTCCTTGTTGGTGGTGAAGCCACCTCGAGAACCGCCGCTCTCGATTCCCCTTGCCGCTCGCTTCACCTTCTGACTCAAATCCATCATCTGCTTGCTTCCATAGTCACGGGTGGTGAACAACGGGCTCTGGCTGAGGGTCACCACCCAGTATTTGTTCCATAGAAGATTGAGGAGCTGCGAGTCAAGTGTGCTCTTGAAATGGGATACCTCGAGAGCGTAGTATTGCGACGCATGAGCACCAAAGTCCTCCACCTTGTTCAGAGGGATGCTCTGGTACTCATCGTCCTCGTGGTCCTCCTTCGGAGGGGTGTAATCCTTGGGGAATGTCCGGAAAGCACCAATCTCGACCTTCCCAGCCGATATCGTGCGCTCAGGATCGATGACCACTGCGACGAAGGGGTCACTCATCTGCTGCATATCTTGCGTCGACACGTCGATGCCCGACAGCCAACATCCGTATCCCGGATGGCTGTGATACCATCCCACTGCATTCTCCATCCTTCCTGCCTCGCGACACGCCTGCAAGTATCCCACCATGTACTCGTTGGCCTCGTCTTGGGCGTTCACCCGAGTCTCCGTGCCTTCGACAGGCAGCCGGAACGCGTCAGTGACCACAAAGGTCTCCGGAGCGATGTAGCCCTGCATCAGACCCATGACTTCGATGGATCCTCCAGACCGCGCATGCATGACCATCTTGAGGAGAGCGACTGCAGAGATCCGGACTGACTTGAAGTAATGGGGGTCCTTGGCCCACGGTCGGGCGGCTACGAGGGCCTTGTGGGCCTCTTCGTCGTATCGGTAGAGCGCATCTCGTTGTGGATCCACAAGCTGGATGGTATTCTCGATTTCTAGGCGCGATCACTGTCAGTGAGACTGATCGATCCTAGGATTTTTCTGATGTAGGGGAGGACTGACCCCAGGACTGCTGGGCAGCCTGCATGATGACTGTAGTTCTATCGGAGCTCCGCACGAGCTGCCCCTCGAGATGAAGAGAAGTTACGGCAAGGAGAGACAGCAAATATATCTATCTTGAATGGAAATGAGGCGAACACAGAGCCAGCTCTGGGCAGGAGCAGTTCAGCGATGGAATTGGCAGGGTATCAGATACGGACTGCTCGTATTAATTCACTATTAGAGCTTTCGCGGGGCTCGTCCGTCGTCACTGACATGTTGCAGACTGGGGGCTCCGAAGGCGGTGTCGAGAAGGCCGGCAGAACGCAAGGCGGTGAGGCCCGTTGCCCGGACAACGCGCGACAGCCGCCTGCGGGCGATCGCCAACAATCGCTTCGTTTCCCGCTTGGCACAAGTGTCGTGTGTACATAATAGTCGACATTCTTACATCTCGACTTTTCCATGCTCAGGCAGGCAGTCGATCGCCTCTCCCACTGACCACACTCTTTTTTTTTTGGTGCAAGTCTCATTCCATTGTGGAGTGCATCGCGCCCTCCAGATGGAATTGGATTGCCGTCGCTGAAACCTGCACTGCGCTCGAAACACCCCTTCGTTAGCCCGCTCGTTTTGACCGCCAACACGGTGACACGCTGCTGTTTGCAGCCCCAGACCGCACGGTGACTCATTGTGACGGCTGTTTGAAAGATCGGCATCCAGCGCACACTTTCGCCATGGGAGTCGACACAAGCTACCTGACCACTCAGGTCAACTCGATCGTCAGCCAGCTACATAGCATTTTCGACGACATCGGGGTCCCTAGTCATGAACGGGAATCGAGAGAGGCAGAGGTACGCGTTTCTATTTCCGAGCGCATATAACGGTGGCTGAAGACAGCACTAACCATGTCTTCCAGCTCTTTGCGGCTCTGTCGGAGACGCTGAACAACCACCTGCGGCTTGTCAGCAAGTGAGTGTGACGCCTGGAAACTGATGTCGCAAGTTTGCTAAATTCTTGTCTGCAGTGAAAAGAACGAAATGGTGGAAGAAGCACAGCGTCTCATCAAAACAATAAAGCAGATGGAGGCATCGCTAGACGATGAGAAGGCAAACGGGCAGTATGAGCTCGATGACGAGGATTTACAAGTTACCTACCCCTTGAACCGCTGCCTCAGCTTTTTAAAGGAGAAGCACGCGGCCATCAGCAAGTTGCATCGCGAGCGCTTTGAGCAGGTCAAGAGTCAGTGCAACCAGTGTCTATTCTGGGCCTTTATCCAGTCTAACGTGTCGCAGAGCTCGTCGAAGCCTTGGAGTCCTATTCATCTCACCTGGAGCCTTCCTTTGTGAAGATTGATCTTCCTCCCACTGCGCCGGGGTCATCTGTTCCTCCAAGCTTTGATCTTTCTCCATCCTATGTTACCGCGCTGGACAACGAGTTTACGAGGGTTTATGAAGAATACCATCGACGTTTGTCTATTGTGAAAACGACGTGCGAGGAAATCATCAAGCTGTGGGCCGAACTCGGAACGCCGCAGGTACAAACTGATCCCTCCATTATGAAATATTACCGAGACGCACCCGAGCAGCTCGGTCTCCACGAATCAGATTTGTCGAATCTGAGGGCGAAGCGCGACAAGCTGTTGGACGAGAAGAAGAGTCGTGAGCGGAAGCTGAAAGAGCTAAGAACGGCTGTGGAAAACTTGTGGGACCGCCTTGGAGTCGATGAACGCGACCAGAAAGCCTTCCTTGCGGCGAATCGCGGTTGTGGTTTGAGGACGATCAACGAATTTGAGGAGGAACTCGCCAGGTTGAATGAACTGAAGAGGCAGAATCTGCATCTCTTTGTTGAGGATGCTCGATGCCGGCTACAGGAGCTGTGGGATAGTCTCTACTACTCCGAGGAGGAAATGCTAGATTTCACCCCGGCGTTCTCAGATGTCTACAGTGATGCTCTGCTAGAAGCACATGAAGCAGAGATTGCTCGGTTAGAGGCTCTTCGGGAGCAGCGTGCTCCGATCCTTGAACTTGTCGACAAACACAAGGCTCTCATTCAGGACCGTGATGCTCTTGTGGCCTCAAGCCAAGACGCTTCTCGCCTGATGTCTCGTGGTAACAAGGGAGAAAAGCGTGACCCAGGTAAACTACTAAGGGAGGAAAAGATGAGGAAGAGGATTGCGAAAGAGTTGCCCAAGGTCGAAGCTGAGCTACGGAAGGCCCTGGAGAAATATGAAGAGGAATATGGAAGGCCATTCCTGGTCCATGGCGAGAGATATCTCGACGAACTCACCCCTGTGGTGTCGAAGCCTCCGCCACGCTCAAAGACACCGTCCGGACTACCTCCCAGCTCCAAGCAAAGTACCAGCAAGCAGCCTCCTTCGACAGCACGAGGCGGGAACAATGGAACAAGAGGCCCGCCTCCTCCTCGCTCGGCTACCAAGACTCCTACAGGAACAGGACCCATCAGGCGCAACGCGGCACAGAATCCTGCCGTCTCAGCGGCTGCAGCGAAATCACCTTCCAAGATTCCCGCTCGTGTGCCGTTAGGAAATATGCCTCATGGGAGTAACTCACCCGACCGTCGATTGGCACAAAATTCCTATTCCTCAAGTACCATTCGCGGCAAGGTGCCGCCCCGTGCTCCACCGCCCAAGATGCGTGATTTGGTAGCAGATCAAAACGAGGAGCCGCCTCGTTGCGGCAGTGTCATGTCCACCCGAAGTGTGCGACCTGTTAGTCTGGAAGACCCGTATGACGACCGTAACCAGCGGTCCTACATGAGCAGCTCCGTCATGTCTCGCAGGGCGGACAATGTCTCTCACTCGTCGTCTCAGTCTTTCCATTCGTCAACGTCGAAAGAGCGGGCCTATCCTCCAGAGAACCCATATTTGCAACATCAGCCGCCACCACGTCCGCCGATGAGACAGGTCTCCAACTCATCCACAGTGCAGACTGTTACGTCGGGTTCGGAGAATTGGGAGACGTATGACGATACTTCGGAGCCCGAGGCGGATGCAAGTGACGTCTACTATGCCAAACTCCGAGCGGCGCACGGCAAGCGATTTGCTCCTGATGAGCCCAATCCTGCGGGGAAGAAAATGAAGGGTATCCGGAGCGTTCCATCAGACGAGAGAATTGGCGAACAGAATGGTCAATTGGTGAGAGTTGACGGAAGGGATGGTGGATGGTCCGATGATATGGAGCCGTACTGAGGAATTGCCTTGCAGTCGAGTTCTCCGGAGAAACGGGCGGCATCAGTTCTATCATCTTCCCAACAATCTCTCCAGAACAACCATCCAGATGGGATCAGGTGTTCTGACCCAGCCAGCTACATTAATGATCACGATGATCAATTGTTGGGCATCATCTTTCATTCTAAAAATTCTGTGTTTTGTGCGCTTCGTTGGTTTGATTCCCGCGTTCTGGCATTGGCGTTTTTTGGTCTGCGTTTTTTAATACTCTCGGGATAGTTAGCTGATCCGTGTTTTTTTTCCCCCTCCTCCTCTTCTTGCTAATAATGCTTGCTATGCTGGTGGCGGTAAAAAATGGGCTTTTCAAGCGCTGGCGTGATATGAAATGAACCAGTTGGCCGGTTTTTTTTTTGCTCAGCATTGAGTGTTTGTGTATGTATGTATGTATGTGTGCATGTGTGTATTTTTTTTGTTTCCTCTTTTCGGGGTTTTCGTCTTTTATTATTGAGGATAACGATGATATCTCTTTTCTTGTGCCTTTTTTTCTTTTTTGCTATCACTGTTAATAATGTACGTACGATACGTATTATTCCTAAGTTTGCTCGCTGTTCTCGGTTGTTCTGGATTTTTTTTTTGCTTAGAACAAACGAGTAATTGTTAGTAGTATTCAATAATCCTTTGGTTTGGTTGGACACGAGAAAATCATTTCTTGACGGCGTAGTAAGCGTAGTAGATGCAATTCTTAAATTATGCTGGGGCCGGTGCACATACAACTTGCCGGGTACAGTACATTTCGCAAAAGTAAAGAACGCATATATTTAAATTGTATCTATCATATGATAATATTGTACAGTACAAATACAAGAATAAGAAATACAGTTTTTTCTCTCCTCCCTTCCCTTACATACATAATAGGCGGAGGGAGCAGTTCGACTGAATGCTGGAATTCCAGCCCTATACTATACTATATCATTTATTATTCTTCGGGGCGAGGGAGCCCATCCACGAGTGATCTGCGTCGTTCGCCCCCTTGGATCCTCCTGCTTTCCCCCCATTCAGGCTGAATGCAAGAGGGGTTTTGACGCTGCTGCTATGCTGCGACTCGGCAGACATCGTCAGTTTGCGTGCCTCTTCGAGTCTTCGCACTGACTCGGCGCGGCCCAGGATTTCCATCGTCTCTGGTATTCCCGGTCCGGGAGCCCCTGCGGACAGGGCCCAGCGGAGGTAGTGGTAGAGTTCCTTCTTGAAGGCTTTGTCCTTGGCGATTCTGGCCGCCTCATCGTCACTGACATCGGCCGGAGACACCGAGTCGGCGACGGCTCCGGCACCGTCGTAGGACGAAATGTTGAAGCGGTGCGTCTCTGCATTCCAGTGGCTCTCGGGGACGAGTGAGAGAGCCGCTGCTGCTGTGTGCAGCGCTGAGAGCGGCACTACTGGACTTGAGCTCCCTGAGGATGCGTTCTTGCCAGATGCAGCGGGTTCGTAGGGCGGACGCTGCAGAGACGTCGTGAAGAAGGTCTGGTTGCGAGTCAAGAACTCTTCGGGTTTCGTGTACGATTTGGCGTCTGCTCGCAGCAGAGGGGTGATATAGCTGGCGAGAGTCCGACCCTGCAGGACGGAGTCTCTGATAGATAGATATGTGAGCATGTGATTCATTACTTCGCCATTCTGGCGGTATGTTGGGTGTACTCACAATTGCTCTTTCGACCACATCTTCTCTGCAGCCTCGCAAGTTCTGTTCACCATTTGTTCAAACTCGGCGCCGCCTTGGGCCGCAAAGCGCTGCGCGTGCGCCTTCTGAAGGAACCACAGCTTTTCAAAGGCAACAATCGTATTGCCTTTTGTAATCTTGAGATCGAACTACACGATAGTTAGGACGAGGCTTCTCAATCAACATTTCAATAGGCAGCTTACGATGTCTTTCAATTCTTCTAGACTGAAAACATCTGACTTCTGGGTATGCGACCAACCCAACAAGGCTGCAAAGTTTACCAATGCTGCGGGCATGATGCCTTCCACGTCTCTGAAAAACGATATATCGATATCGGCATTGCGCTTACTCAACTTTTGTCCGTTCTTGTCGACCAGCAGCGGTACGTGGCCGAATTGCGGAGGAGTCCAGCCGAAGGCGTTATACAAGGCGACGTGCATTGGCGTCGAAGCCATCCATTCCTGTGAGTCGCAGTCAGCATAGCTGCAGCCATCTAGTCCGAAGTAGTAGATCGCGCACAGTGCCCCGGATCACATGAGTGATCTTCATAGTGTGGTCATCCACAACATTCGCAAGGTGGTAGGTTGGATGGCCGTCAGACTTCAGCAGAATCGGATCTTCATAGACTCGATCGATAAAATCCAGGTGTTTCTTCCCACCATTTCGATTCTGCCCAGTCTTCCCATACACCAGGTCGTCGAACAGCGGATATCCGTCTGCCTTTAACCGAACAACATACGGTTCACCTTTTGCGGCCCTCTCCTCTGACTCTTCTTGGGTGATATCGAAGCACTTTCGGTCGTATCCAATGGGCAGTCCCGCCTGGTTGCGATGTCTTGCTAGAGCGTCCAGACGCTCTGCACTACAGAAGCAGCGGTATGCATGGCCGGTTGAGATCAATTGTTCAGCGTGAGACCGGTAAAGGGCGGTTCTTTCGGACTTGACCACAGGTTAGTTGTTTGAACGACCGAAAAGAACTCCCTCTCCGACGTACCTGTCTATACGGGCCATAAGGGCCACCCACATTAGGGCCTTCAAACGATTAGTTCCTCAAACATAAATTCCACCCAGCAAAGTTCTCACCCTCATCCCATTGTAGCCCAGCCCACTGGAGATCCTCGTACAAGCGCTCTTCTGCGCCCGGGATCGTTCTTTTCTGGTCTGTATCTTCAATGCGCAGCAAAAACTGCCCTCCGGTTCGTTTGGCCAGCAGATAATTGAACAGCGCCGTCCTCAGCGAGCCGAGATGAAGATAACCGGTGGGCGAGGGGGCAAAACGCGTCCGGGCAGGTCCATCAGGCAGGCCACCTTTGCCCTTCTTGCCGGTGCGGAGGACCCGCGGAGAAGAATTGTTCGACGCGACGGAGTGATTGGCTCTGCATTGGACGCAGATCCACGACAGACGGCGAAACAGGCGGTAACGGGGGCGCGTCATCTTGACAAACAAGTCAGAGCCATCGAGACAATGGCTTTTGTCCTGCTTAAGACAGGTTGATTTGGACGATTGAACAATGGACAAGCAGATAGAATAACATCTCTGCGCGGGAGCTCCACTGCGAGTTGTCGATCATAAGTTAGCGCCGCTGAAATTTCCCGCCCGGCAGAAATCTAATCAAGGCCTCCTGCAAAACACATTCGGTCCCCAAACACGGTTTTTTTTTTGCAGATCGCTGCTGTTGTTTTGTTCGGTAGATGATTCTCCATCGGGTTTTGAATTCTTCTTTACAGTCCCATAAGCTTGCAAGTTTTCTAGTGCAGGATTCTGCACTCCCAAGACGCCGATAAGTACGCCCAAGATCTTATCCACCGTATAACAGCGCTCTGATAGCTAACACTTCTTCTATCTCCTAGTGTCGAACGCAGCCCATATTGACCTATACGGTATGAAAAGTGAATGAAATATATTTCGGCAGGATGCGAAACTGAACAATGTTTATTGCAGAGGTCCTGGGAATCGAACGCAACGCGACCAAGGAAGAGATCCGTAAGGCTTACCGAAAGGTATTGACAAAGATCATTTATTGTCAGGTCTATCTCACAGTTACTTATGTCACACGCAACAGGCAGCTCTAGCAAACCATCCGGATAAGGTGCCAGAGGCGGAGCGAGAAGCTGCGGAGGCCAGATTTAAAACCGTGCAACAAGCCTATGACATCCTATACGATGAGGAGAAACGGCAGGTGTACGACACACATGGCATGGCCGCGTTTGACGGGTCGGGCAACCCTGGCATGGGCGGCGCTCCTGATCTAGATGACATATTGTCGCAGATGTTTGGGATGGGCGGCCCTGGCGGTATGCCAGGCTACGGCTATGGACCTCGCTCCAACAAGCCCAGGAAGAGTCCCAACGAAGAGCAGAAGTATGAAGTCAGTCTTGAGGATCTCTACAAGGGGCGGACGGTCAAGTTTGCCAGCACGAAGAACGTGATCTGCAGTCTGTGCAAGGGCAAAGGTGGCAAGGAGAAAGCTACGGCTAAGGAATGCTCCGCCTGTGGGGGACATGGTAAGAGTATCTCGACCTGTCACAGGTACAGCTGTGGCTGATTGGTCTGGCTAGGATACAAGGAGGTCTTGACTCGGGTTGGACCACTTTTGACTCAGTCAACAGTCGCCTGCACCGTTTGTCAAGGGCAGGGTAGCTTTTTCAGTCCGAAGGACAAGTGCAAGAAGTGCAAGGGAGCGAAGGTGACGGAAGAGAAGAAGATGCTGGAGATCTATATTCCCCGGGGAGCCCAGTAAGTGTTAAATATGAATCCTGGTTGGATCGAGATGCTGACTCATTCCAGGGAAGGGGATAAGATCACGTTGGAAGGCGAAGCTGATCAAGTGCCGGGCCAGGAGCCAGGCGATATCATCTTTCATATCGTCGAGGCTCCGCATCCCGTTTTCCGCCGGGCTGGCGCTGATCTCACCGCGTCTATAGAGATCACTTTGGCCGAGGCTCTCGCAGGCTTCTCCCGGGTGGTCCTGAAGCATCTCGACGGCCGGGGGATCGAGCTTACCCATCCGAAAAAGAAAGGAGACGTCCTCCGTCCAGGCCAGGTGCTCAAGGTCCCCGGAGAAGGGATGCCCCTCAAACGGAGCGACGCGCGGGGCGATCTGTACCTGGCGGTCGATGTGAAATTCCCTGACGACAAGTGGACACCTAGTCCGGCTGTGCTGGAGAAGCTGAAGGAGATCCTCCCGAAACCGGGTCCTCCGATCGAGGCAGATACGGTTGACGAAGTGGACTACGACCCCAACGCGGATATCGAAGATTTTGGAGCTGGCGATCCTCGGGGCGGCTCTGGATGGGTAGACGAGGACGAAGAAGACGGGGAACATGCGCAGTGCGCAGCCCAGTGATCAATCAGTCCATAACCAATATCGTTTCTTCATTCTTTCCCCCTTTTCTCCGTAGTAGATACAACTCTTCTCTCTACTGACTCAGCCTGACTGACACATTGACGTTCACATTCATTTTCCACTCCTTCTATCTTTCCAGTGGGTCATTATTAATGGCATGGATTGGAGTTGGGATTATTGAATGAACGAATGGATGAATACCTCTGTTTTTTCCTCCTTCTCATCAATTGAAGATACTACCCATTGCTTGTCACCATACTTAACCTGACCTGCCTGGGGCTTCTAACCACGCGTCTAGACAAGAATGTCTTTTTTTCCCCACCCCCTTTTCTTTTCCTCCCTCGTCATAATGAACGTGATTTTTGTGGATGGGATGTGATGTCATGCAATGCACTGCAATGCGGTGCCATGCTATTGACGAGAAAGATACCTAGGTACCTGCTAGTGTTGTTGATGAGCCAATGAATTGATTTAGTTAGTTTGCTCCGTACGTAGACTTCGCAGAAACATCGTTGTTGCTTATTATTATTGCCTTTCTGTTTCGTATATATTCTAGGAAACGGCATAGATATAGTATTTTGACCTCTACTTCCTGCTCCTCTGCTCCTCTTCTCTACACTATGATGGATACCTGGCACTGCCCGCTGCTTCGTGACCTTGTGCTGCCTCGACTGGCGTCGATGTCGATTGGCCACAAATCCAGCTTGGATAAAACCATACGCTTCGTCTGCCATCTTCACTTCTTTTTACCTTTCACTTCTTTCTCGTCTCTTCACTTCTTTTACTTTTATTATGATTAAGGTCGTACTCGCCTTCCTGATTTGGAAGCACTTATTTACTGTTTTTCCATTTATCACAAGTCTGCTTTCCTAACTGGGAAATTGTCATTTACCCTGTTGGCTCCTTCCTGGTCTGCGTCACTACTACTGCCTCGACGCGTCTGCCTACTTCTTCTCCTCCCAACCACCATTTCTCTGTACTCATCCTCATTACCTCTCTGAGAATCACCTCTTCTAAAGTACGTTGTCGTGAAATTTCCCTACAGTGAACAAAGGAGTCTTTATAAGCAGTGAGTGACAACAGAGTACTTCGACCGAATGCTAGCAATTGTTAGGACTGAAGCCATGCCCCGTGAGAACGCCGCCATAGCCATGAGCATTCTTGACAACTACAATATATCCCACAGCCATCGATACGAATTCCAGAATACAGCGCAGTTAAAGAACTTTTTAGAGAGATCTTACCGTGCGTTTGAGAAAGGCACCAGCCCTCAGTTTGTCGGCGTGGGGAGCATCGGCGTCGACAGCATCCAGTGGATAGATAAGAATCGGCGAGAATTGCCTCCGATGCGACTGCTCTACGATGAAATACAAAAATGCCTCGTCATCAAGTTCGCGAGCAAACCACACAATGTGGCTTTTGCGGAATTCCGTGCCATGTTCGAAGATGCATACAGAGCCAAAGGGGTTTCGCGGTATGATATAGTTTGCATGGGTCCGTCTCGGTATCGAGGTTCCAATGGACGGCACAAGGAAGCCGATGAAAGCTTCAAACCTGTGACTAGAAGCTTGGACGATAAACCAAGTTTCGTAATCGAAGTTGGGCTTTCTGAGTCGTTGAACCAACTTCGAAGTGATGCGTTCCACTGGTTGACGAAAACCAACGGTCAGAAAAATTAGTCATATTGATCCATATCAGGCTCGCTCAGAAAGTCCTGGAGATTGAACGCTGGGAACTTCGACCCGATCCGTTCGTGAGGTAAGCGACTCCTGGAAATGCTAGCAGGCCCGATAAAGTCCAGGCGTTGAAACTTTCGATGTCGACTGGGACTCCCCAAGTAACTTCTATTGTCGGCAATTCCACATCCCTCAACCTTCCGTGGAACCTGATATTCGACACCGCTCCAGTAAATCCTGCCACTCCTCTGATCGGCGAGTTTATCATCCCTCCCCAAGACTTACAAGCATTCGTCCGGCAGTATTTCAGGATATGTCGCTGAGTTTCTTCGGGTTAGCCGCCGATCAGCAATGAGGCATTGGTGTAGGTGGACTCGCGTACCGCAATGACTTCGTGTCGATTCCTTGAAGGTTGATACTACTGAGTCTTGAAGGGGAGCCAATAGCGGTTCAACTGTCATGTGCATCCTGCACAGACTACTACTCATACTCCTGTATCTTGCTCTCCCGCAGCTCTAGTTTCTGCCAATACAGAGATCATCCTGATGTTGATATTGCTCTGCTTTTCCTTTGCTTTGACCATAGTTAGCACCAGCAGGGGCATAACATCAATGCATGCTTCTTCAGAGCTTTTGGGCAAACAGCAAAGCCTTAGCGAAGCCTATAACAAATCCTATAACAAAGCCTGTAATGAAGACTACTCCGGAGTCTACCTACTAGGTAGGTAGTGAAGACTGTAGGGAAACCAAAAGCAATGGTCACTACGGAACTTCCCACACCACAGGCGGTGAGCACAGCGGACCAATCAGCGCACGAATAAATGCAAGTTGAGATAACAAGCGCGGGGTCCCCTCCCCCACATACCTAAGTAGGTCATGGGAGTCAAAGCTCGGATATTTATCCAACGGTGAATATACCTTTAGTAATAGCTCTGATTTCTGATCGAGGTCGGAGAAAGTCCGGCAGCCTCACTCCGCTCACCGAGGTTATGATCGTATTGTTGGTTCGCGTCACCGGAGTGTTCGCCGGGCACAGCGCCGCCGCCGCCGTCATGGTAAGAAGCATGATACAGACTTGAGGCTTTGAGCACCCATTCACTAATATCCTTTCGGGCAAGCTCCAGAACCCTTTCCAACAAGGCGGTGTTGCTAACCATTGAGATGGCGCCATGGAACCAGGCATCGTATTGCCCCAATCTACATATCTGACTCATATGCGGAGTCTTTGTTACTGTCTTAAATCCCCCCCATGCGGCATCCCGCGTTTTGCGGTGGATACCGCACGGGGGGCAATTATATATAATACCTATTAATTAATCCTTCGTTCTCTGTTGGTGTCTCTCTCTCATCCGCGTCTCTGCCACTGCGAAAATACCTGAAAAGAAGCGGATTCGATTCAACATGCCGTGCGAGTCGCGAACGTCATGCGAGGGCTGCACCTGCAATGGTCGCGAGAATTCCCAGCCCATCAACATCGAGGATTGTCAGCAGGAATTGCTGGCCCTGCGAAAGCGAGCCCAGGAGCTAGAAAGCACCTTGGCGGCTCTCAAGAATGACGGCGACGGGGCATCGAAGACGTCTTCGTCACTGGCAACAAGTCGCAAACTGCGCTCGGCGAGATGGTTCAGCAGCGAAACCAACCCGGCCATGAGCACCATATACATCGAACGATACCTCAATTACGGAATCACCCGAGAGGAGCTGACGTCAGGCAAGCCCATCATTGGGATTGCTCAGTCCGGTTCCGATTTGGCTCCTTGCAACAGGTATCATCTGGAGCTCGCAAAACGGGTCCGCGAGGGAATTCGATCTGCCGGAGGCATTGCGTTTGAGTTTCCCATGCATCCGATCCAGGAAAGCTCAAGGCGACCTACTGCGTGTCTAGACAGGAATCTGGCGTATCTGGGTCTCGTTGAGATCCTATACTCCTATCCATTGGACGGGGTGGTGCTTCTGACGGGATGTGATAAGACGACGCCTGCATGTCTGATGGCTGCGGCCACAGTTGTGAGTTTTTGAGTCTTCAGCCCTGCCACACGTAGCATCCTGTTAACAGCGCTACCAGAACATCCCAGCCATATGTCTCAATGTCGGTCCGATGATCAACGGTTACGTCAAAAACGAACGGGTTGGCTCTGGAATGGTCGTCTGGAGGGGTCGGGAACTCTTTGCTGCAGGGGAGATTAATCGCGAAGAATTCATCGACCTTGTGTCCAAAGGGTATGTGGATGACATCGTGAGGCGGTTTCTAATCTCTCTCAGAGAAATTCCTGACTTTGGAGCACAGAGCACCGTCCGTAGGCCACTGCAACACCATGGGAACTGCATCAACCATGAACGCACTCGCAGAGGCCCTTGGCATGGCCCTTCCTGGATCCGCTGCTATACCTGCTCCATACCGCGAAAGAGCACAATGCGCCTACGAGACTGGTCAGCAGATTGTCGAAATGGTGCTGGCTGACCGGAAACCCAGCGACATCATGACCCGTGAGGCCTTTGAGAACGCCATCGTCGTAAACACGGCTATCGGAGGCAGTACAAATGCGCCGATTCACATCAATGCGATTGCGAAGCACATGGGCATAAACATAACCGTTGAGGATTGGGACAAGATTGGATTTCATATTCCTCTGCTCCTCAACATGCAGCCGGCGGGAGAACTGCTGGGAGAAGAATATTTCCGGGCAGGAGGCCTTCCCGCCATCATGGCTGAGTTGCTCGATGCAGGGAAACTGAATGCCGACGTCCTCACGTGCAACGGCCGGACCATTGCAGAGAATGTTCGCGGTAAGTATTCATGGGATCGTCGGACGATTCGTGAGTTCCGAAATCCCATCCTCGAGAATGCTGGCTTCCGCCATCTTCAAGGGAATCTGTTCAATTCGGCCATTATGAAGACTTGCGTCATCTCGGCCGAATTTCGGAAGAAATTCCTTGAGAACCCCGAGGATCCTGACGCGTTTGAGGGCGCCGTAGTCGTCTTTGATGGACCGGAAGATTATAACCAGCGAATCGAGAGCGATTCAACTTCGGTCGATGACAAAACCATTCTGATTATGCGTGGCGCCGGTCCACTGGGCTATCCTGGTGCAGCGGAGGTGGTGAATATGCACCCTCCCGGGCGTCTATTGAGGGAAGGCGTTCATTCCCTCCCTTGTATCGGGGACGGAAGGCAGTCTGGAACTTCCGGCTCTCCGTCTATCTTGAATGCCAGTCCCGAAGCGGCAGCCGGGGGTAATCTTGCTCTCCTGAAGGACGGTGACAGGATTCGGGTGGACCTGAAAAAACGCCGTGTGGATATCTTGATCTCCGAGGAGGAGCTGCGGAAACGGAGAGCGGAGCTGGAGTCTCAAGGAGGCTATGAGGGGCCCGAGAGTCAGACTCCATGGCAGGAACTGTTTAGAAGAGAGACTGACCAGCTGAGTGAGGGAATGGTGCTGAGAGAAGCTGTCAAGTACCAGCGCATAGCACAGCGCTGGCCCGAGCCTCGACATAATCATTAGGATTATTACCTAGTACGATCAAAAAAAGGTACTTCAAGCCTTTGAGTAACCAGACAGCGCCACATTGTTTGTAACAATTCTATCCTGCCTGTCTAGAGTCTAGACTCGAGAGGCATCTCGTACGGTACCACGTCCAAGGCGCGACAGATGGGTACTCCTCGTGGATAGCTGGAATGGATTCTCAGAGGAATAGAGCAGTCTGAGCCGAGTCTGATTTGTTCTTGCAGAGGCTTGGCATTGTTATTATTAGTCTCAGATCCACCTAGAAACAGGACGGGACTCGCGAGAAAGCCTTGCATGCGAGCTTAGAAGAATAGAATCTGCTAACTTGGCGATCCAACACAGCTTCGAAGGCAAAGATATCAGCAATTGGCGGTACAAAGGAATGGACTGGGGCTCTACTCCATACTCCGTACTCTGTAATCAAAGCACGGACCTCCATACTCTATGCCTATCAGATTGGGGTCCATTCTTCGATTTCTTATCACCATTAGAAGACTGGATGGGATCTCTCACCGATGGGATCGTTACGCAATCACTGCATATGCACGATTATGGTGAACGAGGCACAGATTCCATCATTCCCCGAACGAGATGCGGATGATCAGGAATGTGTCCAAATCAACGTGAGGTCCATCACATGCATCAATGCTCGTCTTCCCTGTCGACTCGAGGTCGACGAAAATGCGCCGGGTGGGAGACGTGCCAAGGAGGATGGTCGTTGACAGCGATTGTTGCCCAACGCAACCGCCGACCGAAGCTGGGATCCTTCCCTAAGTGGAACTCCGGCTGAGGGCGAGGCGGTGAACTGGCCAAGCTGACACAGCATTGCGCACGCGTCGACGGGCTGCTTGCACAGCGCTATGCCTGCAGCTGCCATGCGCATCAGCGAACTGCATTTGCAGTACTGAGCCAGGGTCTTGGGCCGCAGAGCAGTGTTTCACACTTTCACTTTGACACTTTATCGACGACTTCCCCTAGGTCGCTACGGAGCAGGCACGATCTACATCCGTAACGGCTGCGATGCTCGGTCGCAGCTTCCTTCTCCGGTGGGTCGCCTAAGCTCGCGGCCCGCCCGGGACACCAGCCAACTCTAACGGGCTGCAGGAGCGACGGTGCTACGCTCTAGCCCTCGATATAAAAATTTTTTGTGCCTGCACGCCTGCGCGTTGAAACAAACGCCACGGTCAGGGCCGCGCCATCCCCTTCTTTCGCGCCATCTCCATTTTGCCAATATCTCGCGACACCACGATCATGCTCGCCGTCCAGTCAGAAGCCAGATTCTCGCCATGTACTCGCTATAGTGGCTGATATCGCCCTCCGAGGCCGCGTCGAAGCCATCTGTGGGCTGTGGCACCTGGTCCTACCACCACTTTTTGGCTGATCCCTCTATCGATTGTGTGCTCCCCCTCCTATCTGCGCTTCCCCATACAAATTATCCTTTCCCCCGGACCGTAGGCGTTTGTAACCGAAGCAGCTTCTTCCTGCGTCCGTGACTCGGTGCGAAGCCTCCATTCTTCATATACCGGGGTCAGCCGTCCTTTCTTTCGACCTTATCTTGAGTCTGCCACACCGGATTCTTTGCAACTTCCCCTTACTTCTCTTGCAAATTCTTGTGGCTTGCAGACTTGTTCCCTTGGTCACCATGGAGGTCAACTTATAACATTTACTGGTGGCTTCCCCCGCCATTCTTCATCGTTGTCGCATTCTGATTTCCATCGCCTGTTACGGTCGATACTGTACGGCATCGAGACTCGTTGGACTTTGCGACTTTCATCTTTCCTGCCTAGAATTTGGGCTATACATCATGGCTCCCAACCTCTTCATCTTTTTCCGCAATCTCTTTTGCCCTATTTATTTGTTCCAAAAGGGGGAGCGTCTGGAGGGCTCGATCACCAAGGATGAGCACTGGGACTCGCCCGTGCCGGGCACCTATCGATACATACCCAGCCGCGGGTGGCATCTCATCCGACGAGATGATGCCGAAGAGGACGAGAAGGAACCCCAGCCAGTTGTCTATTGTCGCATCGTCCACCGCTACCTCCTCGCCTCCGATATGGAACGGCGATGCCGCTGGTACACTGTCGTCCAGGAGGAGGGCGGCGAGCCCGAGCGGTGTCTCTTCTTCCGTTTGGACGATGGTTATACGTGGGTGATCGGATGGGACAAGCGGGGGAAATTCATCCCGGGACCGTACCGCAGGTGGTGTTACGACAAGGAAGCCATGACCATGCGACGAATGGACTCGTACGTGGACTGTTCGGCGTCGACCTCTCGGAGCAGCAGCATTGTTCCTTGACGACTTGACTCTGATTGTTTCCACATTTTGGCGCGACAATCTTATTTCGAATTTTTTTTTGTCTCGGACTGGAAGCGACATCTATCTGTCTGTGTTTTATGTTTTCATAAAGGGCATCATTTCTTTCGGGGTTTCGTTTAAGCGATGGCGTTCTCAGAGAGGGAAAAAGGGACAAGGCGATCTAAAGCATTATTTTCATTGAATGTACTCCATATAGAATGAGCAGGCGTCAGGCGTTCTTGTGATATTATATAGAGATTAGATCCACGGCTCGCGCCAATGTGACCTTCACATTTCTCGTCAATCAAAGACAATCTCGTAGATTCAATTGAAAATTAATTCCCAATCACAACTTTGCCGATTTATCATTTGACGACGACAACGACGACGGCTGATTCAGCAACCTTTCCAACCCCTTCCGAATCTTCTCGTCCATCCCTTTGTTTTTGGCTGGTCGCATACTATCCCTCTCGACAAACACATGCGTGAACCCGCCCACGGCCTTGACGGCCTCCTCGCCGCGGCGGAACACGCCCACTTCGTAGGTGACGCTGGACGAGCCCAGCCTGGTGACGCGCAACCCGAGATCGAGCACGTCAGGGAAGGACACTGAGGCGAAGTAGTCGCAGTAGGAGGAGACGACGAGGCCGATTTGGTTGTGGGGTGGTGTGTCTGATTGGGATTTATTTTTATCTTTATTACTGTTACTGCTGTTGTATGGATCCAGTCCACAGTGCGTAATGAGATAGGTGTTGATGATGGAGTCGAAGAGAAAGGCGTAGATGCTGTTGTTGAGATGGGCGTACATGTCATTATCGGACCTGGAAGGTGGTTGTTTAGTAGCTAGTTGAACTATTGAAAAATGAAAAGCTTTTGCAAAAGAGTGATTGCGTATAGCTTATGATTGCGTACAGCAGGTGAATGGATAGGTATGGTCGATCTCACCATCGTGTTCGATACTCCAAGTGGAATGGATAGTCTTGACGCGTTCGGCGCCTCTTGGCTTCTAAAGTATCTGCGAGAGGTGCCATTGAATGGAATTGTGTTGGCGACGATGGAATTTAATGACTGGCTTCAGAGCAAGGAGAGAAATGGCACTATGTACAGTACAGTACAGGTAAGACGTTCAGAGGTATAATTGAACTATAGGGAACATGAAGTGTATTTTCCACGTGATATGAGTACAGTCGTTTGAATTAGAAGTCACGAGAAGTGTAGCAGCTGCAGGAGAAGCTTGATAGATTCCAATGCAAGGTTAATTTACTGTCATGCAACGAGGACAGCGGGCATTGAAGATCGGTTTCCTTTCTGGGCGACGAACCGAGGTTCATTGCGGGGAACGCTGGATTATCTAAGCATTCTTCCCGCGAGGTCATCACGAGACTGTATGCTGTGCATGCATTGTACTTTTCTATGAGAAAATCTCTCTAGAAAGACAAAGAATTAATCAACGGAATATTGCGTTATATTGAATACTATTGCTGCGGCAATGAATCCAACTTCCTTCAGTACCTATACAGCCGTAGGACTGCCGACTATACCAGTTCCAGACTTGAGTCCCCACCACGCGAGCAGCCATGCGGGAGAAAAAGTTTCCGCCGGAAGACAAACATCATACTCCAGACGTACGTCAGCGTATACCAAACTCTCTCCTCTTGACTTGATTATGTGTTTTCTTCCTGTTTCATAAGCGTTCGGTCCGTCGGTCACTCCCTTGGCGCCCTCCGCGAGGATCACCGCTTATTTGGCGCGGCGAGGCCGCCTTTTTTCTCCCAGCTTGGCCCTCGTCCCCGTCGACACCACCATGCAAGTCCCCCCTCCTGATCCCGTCGAGCCGCCGCCAGATGTCGCAGTCACACCCTGCGATCCCTGGCCTGGCCCGTATTACTTCGAGGGCGGGTTGCGAAGGGTGAAGCCCTACCACTACACGTACAATACCTACTGCAAGGAGCGGTGGCGGGGTAGAGAGCTGCTGGAGATCTTCACCACCGAGTTCAGGGATCGACCGCCAGAGTATTATGTGCGTTTGTCCCAGAATCTCCGTTATATCTACTATCAATGTACACTCAACTGACTGTTTCTTGCGCGCAGAAACATGCCATCGAGTCTGGTCAAGTCACTGTCGGCGGCAAAGTCGCATCCCCCACGACCCGAATCAAGAACGGCGAGGTCATTTCTCACACGCTTCACCGGCATGAACCCCCGGTCACCGGCCAGCCCATTGGTATCATCCACGAAGACGATGATCTACTCGTGATTGACAAGCCCGCGGGCGTGCCCGTCCACGCCGCCGGTCGTTACCACTTCAACTCGGTCGTGGAGATTCTACGATCAGAGCGTGGCAACGGCTTCAAGCCCCATCCTTGCAACCGTCTGGATAGGCTGACCTCCGGCGTCATGTTCTTTGGGAAACACCCCAGGCAGCCGACAATTTCTCCAAGAAGCTGCAAGAACGGAGCGTTCAGAAGGAGTACGTTGCCCGCGTGAAAGGCCGGTTCCCGGACGGGGTGATTCTCTGCGACCAGCCCATCATGCAAGTGAGCCCGAAGTTGGGGTTGAACAGGGTGCGAGCCACTGGGAAAGAGGCGAAGACCAAGTTCCGTCGGCTGGCATACTATCCACCTCGGGAGTCGACAGATCAGCCTCAGAGCAATGGGAATGTAAACTCTACGGCAGAAAACAGAGCGGCCACACCCCCGCCTGTTGCGAACGAAGAGGAAGGCTACAGCATCGTCCACTGTCTGCCCTTGACGGGCCGCACGCATCAGATCCGTGTCCATCTTCAATTCCTGGGTCACCCCATCTCCAACGATCCCATCTACTCGAATCGGCGCGTCTTCGGACCGGACCTGGGCAAATATGACACCACTGCGGATCGAGACAGTGAGATTATCTCGCGTCTATCTAACATGGGCAAGACCGAGCTTCCTGACACTCCCGCGTATCGTACACACCTGACCACACCTCCGGTCGTGGAGCCGGGGACAGACCCGAGTGTTGTCGAGGAGATAATGTCTCGCGAGCACGAGGCGGCCGTGTACGATTACCACAAGCGCAAGGGCGAGAGGCTCTCTGGGGAGCGCTGTGAAGTGTGCGACGCACCCTTGTACACGGATCCCGGCCCCCACGAACTGGGCATCTTCCTGCACGCCATTGCATACTCCGACAGGAACGGCGACTGGAAGTACCGCAGCAAGATGCCCTCGTGGGCGCTGCCGCCAGAGGGCATGGAGGGTCCGACCGAGGTGCCCGACTGGGTCGAGCCCGAAAATGAGGACGAAGTCATCGTCAACAACGGCTACTCGCCGGGCCAGACGAGCATCGATCCCAGAAACGTCGCCGGTGAGGACGACGTCCTGGCCCTCGTTCGAGGAGTCGGTCTGGTCAACCTTTCCCAGAGTATGAGAAACGGGGAAGAGGCGAGGCCGCAGCAGGCTCAGCAAGAGGAGGAAAAGGAAAAGCCACAAGAACAGGAACAGCAGCAGCAGGAAGCTACATCTGCAGCTACAGCAACAGCTTAGCTTAGAAGAGCAATCTACAGTACAGTATATAGTTTGGTAATTTGAAAAAAAAATAATTTTTTTGAAAATTTATCTTGTTTTTCTTTTTTTCTTTCTATCTCTGCGTTAGATTTCACTTGAACCATGATCACCTCATGACAATGACATGAGGCCACGCAGATAGTGAATCATTATCGAAAAAAAGTACTGTACATCGAATCGACAAGGAACCACTAGCTATTAGTACCTAGGTAGTTCGTCCCAAGTAGACCCGATGACGCAAAGAAAACTGTTCCATTTCGTTTCGGGAGAACATTTTCTTTGTCTTCTTGTCTTTTTTCTTCTTCTTCTTCCCGCGCTAGATGAGGACCGGAAAGAAAGAAAGAAAAGGTTGAGCAAGCACATTGCATTCTTTTTTGCTTTTTGCGAATTTCGTTAACCGCCACAGATGCCCATGTAAAACCAACCCCGTTCCCCTTTCCGAGGAAAGAAACCTGCAACACATAAAACAAGAACATGGAACCAACAAAGGGAAAGAGGGAAAATAAATTTATCTTGTTCATGCATGGCATCGCGAATCTATGACTCGGTGGTGACACGGGCCTTGGCGTTGGTGACCTTGACACCCAGGGCCTTGGCCTTGGCCAGGATCTCAACGCGCTTGCGGGAGGAGACGGCGCTGGCGATCCTAGAGAGAGCATACCCGTCAGCCATGTTCAATTCCTTGCAACGGTTTTTTTGACCCTCTCCATTCCGTCTGTACTAGGCATATTGGGGACATACTCAGCGGCGTAGGTGCGGTTGTGCATGAGCAGGAGCTCAACGTCCTTGGGGTTGTGGACGAGGAAAGCCTTGTGGCCCGAGGGCATCATGTGCTTGGTCTTCTTGTTGCTGCCATAACCAATCTAGATAATCCAGAACCAATTCATCAGCATCAATCCGTATAATCAACTCAATCGATCTCGACAGAGGACGTAAAAAGCGTTCCACTGGGCAAGGAAGGGTACCGGGGAAAACGTACGGATGGCATAGGGATCGAGCCCTTGAAGCGTCTACGGACGCGGTTGTCGATACCCTTGGGCTTGCGCCATGCCTCCGGCACACACTTGAAGCGGTCGGACTGGTGACGAAAGAAGCGCTTGGTGCCTATTATCCATCAAAAGATCCCATGTCAGCCATGATTCCCTCTCTGGGCCCTTCGTGTCGTCTGAATTCCCCTTCCATCATCTCAAAAAATCTCGATTGCGCCACTCCCACCCAGCAAACTCCCAAACAATCGACTTCGAGAAGGAGGAACAGAACAGGGCCGGGGAGAACATACGCTTCTTCACGATCGGGATGTGCTTCTTGGCGGAGACCATCTGGAGAGTTTCGTTAATAAAGAATTGTTCACTCGGTGGATTTCACTTTCGAGACAGTTTGTCAGAATCTCACCTTGTCGGTGTTGTCTGGGGGTCTCGCTGGCTGGGCGTTGGAGGGTTGTCGTGACGGTTATTCGAAACTCGATCTCAAAATTCGCGCTGAGGTTTGGGCCGCCCCGGCGGAGTCGTCGTCTGAGTGCAGCATCCGCGCTAGTGGCTCGCTAAGCGAGACGAGGGCTGTAGAGGGTTTGCGCTGTGAAAAGCCCTAACTTGCTGTTTTGGGATGCCAAGGCGGTTAGCAACCACCTGCATTAGGTAATCAGTACTAAATCAATTCGACACCTTAGGCTCTCAATGCGACGATTACAAGGACTACGGAGTATGGAGTGCAAAGAATTGATAATGTCAATGTATGGTAAAAAGAATAAGTGTTAAATCTACAGTAAGAGTCCAGTTATGTAGATGAGAAGCCCCCGAAGGTCTGGCGTAGGTCAAACAGGTCCATGTCTCTCGATTCCAAAAAAGGAAATATCAATAACCTCCCGTCATCTTCTAAGACATATATAAAAAAGCTCACACCAGGGGTCCTCCCTCCCGGGACCCGCTGGTGCTACGAAAACCCCCGCCTATGCTTTTGGCGGGCAGGGATTTTACTAGACCAAGTTTTTTTTTTAAGGATGGGTTCTTGGAACCAGAGGGATTCGAACGGGGGCCGTTGATCTGGATGTTAGTAGTGTAAGAGACTTAGGCAACTTAACCACTGCACCATCGCAGCCCCCATTTCTTAACAGGGAGAGAAGAAAAGGAATTATATATGGCCGTGGTGGGTGTGGTTGGAGGGGGAAGGGAGAGGGGGGGTTGAGCTTCTAGCGTACCGGTAGGTACCGCTGATTGCTGACTATGCACTGTCGTGTTACACTCGAGGTTAGTTGATTATATTACCCACTTGAATACACAGCTATCCTTGCAAAGACAATGCCATCTTCTCGCCATCCCTTTCCCCGCTTCTCAACATCTTCTCGAGTATTTCCAGGTCTGCCAGTGCCTCCTCAGGCCATTGTCTCCGATCCAAGGGTCCCCCTTTCGCAATGGACGCGGCAAAATCCGCAACTTCAGGTACCACGCCCTTGCCATCAAATGCTATATGCTGGTCCTCTCCGTTAACGAAGACTCCGTCACGAGACACGCTTACCACTCCTCCTTCACAGGACAGCTCAAACCCAAAGTCCTTGAAATCAGATCCATAGGATGCGGAAAACGTTCCGGTTGCGCCAGACTTGGTCTTCATGATCGCGTCGACTGTGTCAACCGGAGGGAGATGCTCTTGCAGGAGGTTTGTATGCGCCGACAGCGTCGTGATGGGATTCTCGGGACCGAGGAGCAAACGTATACCAGCAACAATATGGATACCGCCATCTAGGAGAAATCCACCCTGATATTCAGGGACTTTGCGCCATTCAGTCACTGATTCGAGTTAGTCGCATATTGTTGACAGCATCCGATTGAAGAGCTTACGGTAATATTTGAAATCCGTCTTGGTCATCGTATGAACGTTCACACGGAAGTTCTTCACCCGGCCCAGCTTCTGCACCTGCTCGGCGGCGTATAAGAACTGTGTGAAGTAGCGGAAATTCTCCGCCACCCCCCAGAAGATTCTCTTGGAATCGACATTGGAGTGATACCATTGCACGAGTTCTTGAGCTGTTGCGAGATCCTTTGCTATGGGTTTCTCTGAAAGCACATGTTTTCCCGCAGACAGCGCCTTTCGGATAAAATCTGGTTGGACTAGGATAGGAAGTCTACACAGCTTGAACAGTTAGCGCGATCAATCTCAACATAGGCGATAGGAAAGGAACACAGTACGCGATTATGACAGCCTTGATATCTTGGCGGGCGAGCAGATCTGCATAACCCTTCCCTGCACCAGAATCCTCAGAATACAGATCGACATCTGAGAGCCCGGAAGCCAGGCCCTGCGCAGATTTCAGGGACCGTGAATAGATCGCCTTCAGGGTAAGGTCTTTTGCGGCGAGAACGGCAGGCTGCCAATAGAGGTCAATGAATGCTAGAGCATCTCTCGAAAAAAAGAACTATATTGGGAGTCGACGAAAAGAGGGGTGAAAATACCAGATGTTCCTCGCGCGCAAAGATGCCTAGGTGCAACAAGTATTAGTCGCTGAGTGTGGAAGATCTATACAACCTGTGACACTATACCGCTCCCGATGATAGCAATTCCTATCGACATGACGACAATTAATGTCTGACTATACAATTGATGTGATATACATGTGTAGTCGAAATATAGACAAAGAATTCTGCCAAGGTTGACTATACAGCTGGCAGAACCAATGCTGGCAACGCTGATTATTAAATAAAAAATGAAGCATGCGGGGCACCGATAAGATAGTTACCAAAACGAGTGCAGAGCTTGCCAAGAACTGTCATCATTGCCTAAACAGTTTTTTTGCTTCTTGCATGGCGCTGTATGCAATACTTACAGGCTGAAAGGATTATCAGCAGGATCAATACAGGCTAAATTGGCATGAGTCGAATGCAGATGAAATAATAACCTGTCTACTGGTGCAGTGTTACCAGCCATTACAATTGCAGCGGCTGCGGTGTCTCGTCCATGCACGTTTCTTGCAGTCGCAGGCTCCTGTGATTTGTCTTCTGTGGAATTGCAAAAGGAATTTGCTTTTCTGTTAGTTTAAAGAAATCCTAACCTAAATAAAATAAAAGTAAGCAATCAGTTCCTGAACCTAATTACGGAGTTGTGCTCTGAAGGCTGGCCGATGCGCGACATTTGGCGTTCCCGCCCACTGACACGCTAGACGCGTCGCCTGTGCCTGCCCTAGGCGTCCGATCTCTAGCTTCCGCTGCGAAACCAAGTGTTACTCGTGACCCAACTCCTCTTCCTCTCGGCTTCGACATCCGTTATCCTTGTGTATCCATTATCTCTTTCACGCCGAATCGACCAAGTCGCTTCGGTCATATTTGTCGTCGCCCCTGTCCGGTTCCTCACCCGCTACTGTCTGATGGTTCGCTGATCCCCCCAGCGCCAGCTTCCCCGCCCTTCTCGCACGATGCCTGCGCGCACCCGACAAGCTCCATCCTCCACGGCGGAGGTCGTGGAGCCGGAGGAGGAGCAAGGTGGTCTTCGCCGTCTTCGTTTCAATGACCCGCTCTCATGGCGCGTGGGCAAGTCTGCTATCCCTGTCGCAGACCTGCTGCAGCGCTTGCAAACCCTCGCGCACGAGCTGTCGAAGATGGAACAAGATGAGACCGATAAAGATTCTCTGAAAAAGGTCTCGCAGGAATTAGCCAGCGGCCATCTTTTAGCACACAAAGATAAAGGTGTGAGAGCGTGGACGGCGAGCTGCATCGTGGATATTCTGCGCTTGTGCGCGCCGGACGCGCCGTTCACGGGGAATCAATTGAAGGTGCGAGAGCAATTATTGCTTTTTTTTTTTCGGAAGATGCTGACTATGGGATAGGATATCTTTACGTGCATTGTCACATCGATTATCCCGGCAATTGCAGATCCTTCCAATGCCTACAACACACAGCATGTCTATGTCCTGAACTCTCTTGCCGACGTCAAGAGTATCGTCCTCTTGACGGACCTTGACAATCCCGACTCATTAATTATCCCTCTCTTCGCGTCGTGTTTCGATATTGTCTCGGGATCTTCAAAAGCATCCACTGGCGAACAGATTGCCAAAAATGTCGAGTACGACATGACCCGCATGCTCGTGACCGTTATCGATGAGTCCCCCACTCTGGCCCCCGAGGTTGTCGATATTATCATCGCGCAATTTCTTCGCGTCGATCCGCGCGTCGTGGAGCAGCCCGGTAAGAAGGGCAAGAAGCCTGAGGCCACGATCGATGCGAACCAAGACACTCTTCTATTGAAAGATTATCCGCCCGCATATAACATGGCTAAGGCTATTTGCCATGCATGCCCCGAAAAGATGACCAGCCATATAAGCCAGTATTTCAACAACGTCATCATCGATTCCTCAGCGCCTTCGTCGGCGTTAAACGGCTCGAAACATTCTTCCAACCGGAGGGTCAGTCTTGATGAATCCGATGACGAGGCAGAGGACATCAAAGAGCTGGAGAAAGCCCATCGACTAATACGTGAGCTGTGGCGGGCATGTCCGGACGTGCTGCAAAATGTGATCCCACAGTTGGAGGCTGAGCTCTCTGCTGAGTCCGTCTCTCTGCGTCTCTTGGCAACACAGACCATTGGCGACCTGGCTGCTGGAATCGGTGTCGCTGGGCCTCCTCCATCCCCACCGATGGATCCTGCTGCGTATCCACCGGTGACATTGATCGGATATCCTCAAACCGTACCGCAGCCAAATGTTCTGCAGACGCCGTTGTCACCCAAGCCTTTCGCCCAAGTACATTCGTCTGCGTATGAGAGTTTCTTGAGTCGCCGCCAGGATAAGTCGGCTTCCGTTCGATCTGCATGGGCGACAGCCATAGGGCGCATCTTGCTTACCTCTGCTGGAGGCTGTGGTCTGAGTGAAGCGGACGAGCTCAGCTTGGTCAAGAGCTTGGCCATCGTACTTCGTGATGCTGATGAGAGAGTCCGGGTTGCAGCTGTGGATGCTATCGGCTCCTTCGGGTTCTCAGACATTGTCAACAAGCTTTCTGTCACTGGCGGGCTCGCGACTCCAGATTCGGTCCTCTCGATTCTTGCGGAGCGTGTTAAAGATCGCAAGCCGCAGGTTCGAGAGCATGCCATGAGAGTCTTTGCTCGGATGTGGGCGGTTGCCGCCGGTGAGATTGAGGATAACAACGAGCAAGTGGTGGCGCTCCTCAAGGACGCGCCATCTAAAATCTATGATGCTTTCTACACGAACGACCCCGATATCCAGGTCCTCATCGACCGCGTGCAATTTGAGTTCTTGCTCCCATTGAATTACCCTCCGATCAAATCTAAGCAGATCAAAGGGACTCCCGGCCAATCCCAGAAGCTCAGGAGTACCCAAGATGCTCCTAAAGATGCAGAAGGTGCTGTGGATAAGATACGAGTACAGCGAATGTTGACTTTGATAAAGGGTCTGGATGAGAAAGCCAAGAAAGTGTTCTTCGCCTTCCAGGCGCGACAATTGAACCTGAGGACGGCGATGAACATCTATTTGCAAGCGTGTGAGGATTATAACGTGAGTTGAATGATAAATTGCTCTGTATTGTCTACAGAATTTCTAATGTGATATTCAGGGTGGCGTCATGGAAAAAGACGAAGATCGGATCAAGGCGCAGTTGACGCGCGTGATCGACACTTTGGCAAAATCATTGCCAGATGCGTCTCGAGCATCGGCAGATCTCTGGAAGTTTGCAAAGGCTCACGACAGGAGAAATTACCAACTCATTCGATTTGCCATGGCTGCTGTTAGCGACTACCGTACGGTCACAAAAGCAATCAAGGAGCTAGCGAGGAGGATACAGAGCGGAAATACCCCATCCATTCTGGACACACTCACTCCGTTCCTGTACAGGTCTAGTTCTCTCGTTTTTAATCGCAGCCATATTTCTGCGATCATGGAGTTTTCGAGAACGGATGAGAAGGGCTTGGCCAATACTGCACACGAGATGCTGAAGGAGATATCCTCTCGCAATCCCGAAGTCCTTGAGGCCCAGGTTCAAGAGATGTGCAAAGATCTGGAAGCGCAAGCACCAAGCGCAAATTCCACTGACGATGCTAGCGCTGAAGAAATTCTCAAGGCCTGCTCTGGTTTTGCCAAAAAGCTCCCCTCGAAGCTTCCGAAAGAAAGACGGTTCCTGCAGGCGCTGACAAACTACGCCCTCTACAGCTCTTCTACTCGTGCGGCGAAGCATGCGGTGTCTATCATCATGGCTATCGCGGACAAAAAGGAGATGTATGCAAAGGATCTAGTGCAGAAGTGCGTCAAGGATTGGAAGTATGGTTCTGATCATTTCCTCACGCGACTGGCCACCATCGCTCAGCTGAATCGGCTCGCACCGAGGGAGACAGAGGCGGAGAGTGACGCCATTGTCTCAATTGCTGTCGATCAGATCCTGCTCACGAACCGGTCCAAGCGACCAGAATCCGGGTATAAGTGGTCAGAAGAAGTGGACGAGGAAACAATAGCGAAGGAATGGGCGCTCAAGATCATCGTCAATCGGCTTCGTGGCAAAGATGATTCAGATGAGGACTTCGGCTCTCAAGCAGAGCCAGTCTACAGTACCCTGAACAAGTTGGTGGCGGGCGAAGGGGAACTCTCGAAGAAAAAGGACACTCCAGAGACCCAGAAACCTCGGCTTCGCCTTCATGCGGCCAAGCTGCTGGTCAAACTCTGCGCGTCACGTTCTATTTGTGACCAGTTGCTGAGTCCGAACGATTTCAACTCATTATCACTGGTAGCCCAAGATAGCCTCTTACCAGTAAGGGCAGGGTTCATTGATATATTGAGGAAGAAGTTATCACAAAACACTCATTTGAGTGTCCGTTGGTACACGATTCCGTGTCTTCTTGCTTTCGAACCAAGCCCCAGTCTCAAAGAAAGTACTCTCACCTGGCTACGTTCCCGTGCGATCTTTTTCTCCCGACAGACTCAAGCCAATGGGAAGAGGAGTGAGCAACAGACCGTGATGGAGGCCATGTTTGCTCGTCTGCTCTCTCTACTAGCTTATCATCCGGACTATCCGCCCTCGAATGAGGACAAGGAGACCTGGATGGCTGAGCTTGCAGACTTCGCTCGATATATACTCTTCTACCTTTCTGCAATTGCGAATGAGAATAATCTGTCTTTGATCTTCCACATTGCGCAGCGCGTCAAGCAGACTAAAGATGGCATTACCAAGTCTGATGAAATTACCACGCGTCTTCACACCCTTTCTGATCTTGCTCAGGCGACCATTCGCCGCTTCGCGGACATTTATTCACAGCAACATAAAATTGGCGGCGCGAGCGGTACCGCCAGCATTCTCCAGACGTATCCAGGAAAAATGAGGTTGCCGAGCTCGCTGTTTGCCCCCATGTCAAGCCATCAAGAAGCACAAGATGTTGCAGAGAAGAACTTCCTTCCTGAAGACATTGACGATATGCTTGACGATATTGTCCGATCTTGGATGCGACCCAAGAAGACGTCTCAGGTGGCGAACCAGGGGAAGAAGAGGAAGAGTGAGCCTTCTGAGACGAATGGGGATTCCCATGCTACCAAGAAACCCCGGAAGCCAAGGGCCTTGCCTATCCGGAAGTCATCGTCGGCGGGTGGTAATGCGAAGATGGCGAAGAAAAAGAAGAACGATGACGATGAATGGGGATCTGACTATGGAGGGGACGAGAACGTGTCGTCGGGTGCTCGAAGACGGAGCAGCAGAAGCGTGAGAAAAGATGTCAGCTATGTTGATCGCGATAGTGATGAGGACGATCTCGAGATGGAGGAATGGGACCAAGAGAATGAAGCAGAAAACCAAGACGAAGACGAGAATGGGGAGGAGGAGCAAGATCAAAATGACACGGGTGACGAGGCAGAGAAACAAGAGTTGGATGATGAGAAGAATGGCGATCAGGATGCGGAAATGGAGGATGTTGACGAAACGTCATCACCGTCCAGGAAGGCGAAGAGCGCATCAACACGGAAGACTCAGTCGAATAAGGGTAAATCTGGCGCCGAGAAACCGGCGAAGACGGGGACTGTCCCTGTGCGACGATCGAGCCGACGTGGATAATTTCGTTGTCGATATGGTTTTTCGAGTTTTCGATGTTGTGTGACTTTGTATGAGTCCTCGCGCTTCAAACTATATCCTTGCTGGTGAATGTGAATGTGAATTTTCAATGCTCATGTCCTGTCTCAGTTGTTGTCATCTACTGACGGCTTTTAAAAAAAATACCCATGTGCCATGTTTCGTTAGTTTTATGATGCGGGCTTGAATGTTATGTATTTCGTTGCAAGTTGCTTTGACACCTGAGTTTCGCTGCTACTTAAGTTGTGGAGGAGTTGCAGATTGATTTAAGTTCTTCCATTTCAATTCAGTGCTTTCCAATGATGCTTTTCAAGTCTCTTGCTGGTGAATTCCTATACCTATGTATATAGGTAATTCAATGTATGTACTGTACATTCGTGCGAGTTGAAGTCCTTCCCACCGTTTTCACTTAGGAGATTGTAATGGCATGAGATCACTGACCGTAGGGAAATAGAATATATCTACCTCGAAGACATTGCTGCATGTACAGTACATTTGTACGGTATATACAATGCATATCTAGGAGCGAAGTGTTTATTAACTGAATAAATAGGTTGGTTTAGGGTAGGAGGTACCTACCCATCTAGGAAGGTAAAAAGGTACCTGCCTAAGGTAAACCGTAAGTCGGGGAGTTACCTGATGAGGTTTAGTGATCATGTGATGTAGCTAGCCGTTTGGGTTAGGCGCTGTACTCGCCGCTTTTAAACCGTCTGCCTCCCGGTTTAATAATCCCTCTCCAACGTCCCCATTTTTCCTCCAGTTTGCTACTAAACAAAGCATTTCCCTGCAAGGTGCAAGCAGCTGCTGCCCTGGGGGTTTGGCTATATAAGGTGGTGCGGGCAGTCTTTTTTGTCTCACAACACGGCTCACAAGGATACCTACAATCTACGGTCTTCGCACAATTATATACTTAGCTATACGGTCTCCACATAAATTGATTTTTATGTAGGATGGGGAAAGCCACTAATAATAGAAGCGCCACAAACCATCAGGTATTTTCTCTTCAACTATAAAGAGTGGGAAGAACACTGAACTAAAATTTATAATAGGATGATGGCATGGATATCTTATACCCAGGAGCAAGATTATAATGCAATAATTAGCAACAGGATAATCAGTCGACCAAGAGAAAAGACGAGCACCAAAGATAGACGTCGTTATGGCAGTCATTATTTTGATTTGCTGTTAAGATAGGACGACTCAGTAGACGTATGCTTCATCTCCTCCGGATAATCCTCAGCTCGTCCTCACTATCTGAATCACCCCGGCCTTCACGAGCCCTTTTCTGGCCTGGTCTGGCAGACCTTTTTGGTTTTCCCCGAATCCACTCTTCGAAGATCTTCTTGACACCATACAAATCCCATTCCTTGTTCCCGGACTTGAGGAGCCTGCGCCATTCGTCCGGGTACATAACGAGCGACGCCGAACTGTACAGCGTCCAGGACGGTCCACTGAACCCAATGAGCCACGCGTTGAGCTCGTGGTCGACGAGAATGTGTTCCGGCAGAACATGATTCCAGACCATGTCGTTCGAGTGCAGGACGTTGATCATGTCCTTGACTTGTCCTTCCCACTTTGCATGCATGTGTTTCATGCCGCGGATCTCATCATTCTCGAGGCTTCGAAGCCCGAATGGGAGCCAGTCTTGTAACATGCCAATCACCCTTTTTCCATCGCTGGATACGACAATGCCGTAGAGTTTGGGCACTCGAAGGTCAGCGTGCAAGCCTAATTCGGCGATGCGGTGCAGGACGGTGATTTCCCGTATGAACGACGCGGCAGAAGGGTCATCATTACTATTGATTGGCTTGAAGAATTTGTTCTCGCCGTCCAGTGTTCGGACGAGTCGGGGAATATGGCATGTGTTATGGTAGTTGACAACGTAGCGACCGTCTAGGATCTCTTCTCGTGGGACTGGCGTAGATGGGATCGAGATCTCCGCTGCAGATACAAGCTTCACCTGCCCGAGCAGACCATCATCCCCAGGGCAGAGATGGGAATTGTGCGGAATGGAACCGTTCTGTCTTCCTCGGGAACCTCTGGCATATCGTCGGTAACGAGCGATGCGGAAAGCAGTTTGTCATTGCCATCGCGAGGACCGAGTTTGATGAGATGGAGGTCCGGAAAGGCGAACTGTTCGAGCGTAATAATTGACTCTTCTCCCTTTTCACATGGCGACGGTGCCAACTCTTGAATCAAAGGGATGCAAGCCTGAACGATCCATTCACAGAACTTATTGTAGTTTTCCCTATTCTTGAGAAAACTTCTTTTGCTGGGCCGTCTGATCAGCTCGTCATCCATGACAAATTTGGAGACGCGTCGCCTGTACTCTGTTTCCAGACGCGTGCCACGGACGGCTTCATCTTCCAGGTCGAGGGTGATGATGAAGATTTTGCAGTTGCAATGGATGGTTATCTTGGTGAAGTCGCTGCCGACGAAGCTTCCCACTATTCTGTAGGGTGGTAGTTTAGGTGTGGTTGATGGTGCCATGATCGATGGTGATGAGAGTGCTGAGCTGGGTGGCTGCTTTGGTCGATAAATCGATGTGATATCACTATCTAATGGGTTCAGAAGCTATTACTGATTGAAACATTGAAATCAAGAGAATAGAATGAATTGATGCTCGAATGCTCATAATTACGTTGCTAAGCACGAGTTCTGGTGTTGCTGATTGATAGAAGGATCTACATTCAAAACAGAACATCCCTTTTACGCGTTCAACGCGTTATTTTAGTCTTTTTAGCTCCCATCATGCCTGAGGCACAGTCATCTGCGCAGAGTTCAGTGCAAACAGTCGCTCATCTAATTTTCCAGGAAAGCGATCGAGAAAAAGGGCCTTGCATCACCACTCATGCTCGATTTTAAATGGGCAATCTTTAACCAATTCTTCGGGACCAAACTGTCACGTGGACTATACGAAGTACAGAGTGGATAAGGAACGAAGCTAGTCCAAGAACGGCAGGAACATCCGATTCCCAAAACGGGAAACTAACTACCAACAACACACAGTATCACCACGTCTATGTACTGTACATACATACCTACATAAAATCTTTAAGATACCTACCTAATTTTTGGATGTCTGATCGATCATCAAGTTTCCGTCTAACAAGGTAATAGTGCAGTGATGTTATCTTATGTCCGCCAGCCGGCTTCTCGGAGGATCTTGCCAAGCCAGCCCAGCCCCAGCCCTAAACCCCGAGCCCTATCCTATCCCATTCTATATGCCCTGGTGACCTAGTCACCTCCCGACTTCACCCGATCTGGGATCATGCGGCGAAGTGATGGATGGGCACTGTAGGCAAGGGAAAAAAAATTGAGAATTTGGTACTAACTAGAAGAGCAAGAAAACATATGGAAGTGGGATACTGACTTCGTACCGATCAGGAGTCTTCCTACTCAAAAGTTAGTGAAGTCAAGCCCGGAATTTGACTGCCTCGATCCTTGTGTATATTTATTTAGGTAGGTACATCGGTCTGATAGATATATATATCCAGGATAACTACATGTACCTAGGTACTGTATATAATATGTGTATAGCTTCTGTTATAAATATAAATCCACACCTAGCGTACGATTTCAATTCGAGTTATGCTATGCTTCCTCCTTTTTTCTAAAGAATTCCCCTGCACACAGCGCTCCTTATCCTGAAAGTATCAAACTTCCCTTCCCCCTCGAAGGGCACTGACTTTACCGTCAGTGTTACATTACGTCTATCAGAAACTTGTCACGTTCCTGGTTGTTCGTTTCTTCCTGGAGTCCATGATCATGACAATGACAAACAATGACACGTGTACCTGCAGGGCCTTGCCAGCTCACTCGATTGCTGGGATGTGATGCATCATACGAGCTTCTAGAATATCTATATCTCTATCTATCTATACAGTAGTATCAAATCTCTCTGGAGAGAGAGAGAGAGAGAGACTTTTCATCAGTGGCAGTTTTAGGCGCCCAGAACCACAGAAAAAAAATTAAGCGCCCGATTACTTATCTATATTAATATTATAAAATTGGGAATTAACAACGAGCCAGAAAATATCGTCGCGCAGTACAGTGCATAAAATCTCGATGGAGTGGAGGACAACACGCCTCCATGTTTGTTTATCTACAGGGGTTGATATCAGAGTTTTCACTGTTGCGCGGTGAAAGCACAACAACGTCAGGTAATATAATAGTGAAGACACGTTATCAGTGAACTAATGAGATCTGCATTCACTTCTGACTGCCTTACGCGGTGATTATTATTACAGAATTATTACTCTGTAATAGCAGACAGAATTCTCGTTTCCTTTTCTTTTCACACCGCTCAGTAAATTTATTTACCTCGACCTCATAGAAGTACGGAGTAAATGAATTTGATATTTACGCGTAACGACAGCATGCAAAACATGACCATATGGAACCGAACCAAGACAAATCGTGAATGATTTCCTATTTCAGGCCTTCTCACAATTCAAGAAGCTAGACGGACAAAAAGCGTAAAGGAAAAAAAAACCATCATCAGACTCACCAACATACAGATGACCAACAAGGAATGGGAATCAAGCGATTATGAACAGAGGATCTCTATGTTTTTTCCTCTCATATGTACGCAACAAATAATACGGCCCAAGACACGGTGAGCCAAGAAAAAAAACATATGACCAGCCCTTGTTTCCTCTTTCCACCGCTCCCAGGAGAAAAAAGAAGATCAAATACGACAGATCAGAAAGAAATCAAGAAGTCGTAGCATTGGCTCTTGTTCTCGCGAGCCTCTCTTCTACACGTTCCTTGTGCTGCCGATTTCTCAGATGTACCTCGAAATTTTCGACTGTCATTCCAGGGCCTGGCGTGTAAAGCTTTCCAGGACAGTCGTGACATCGGATGCGAGGGAGATACTGGTACTTCAACTTCTGCCCCGGCTGTGTGGCATTGGCATTCGCAACGGGCATCATGGTGGTAGTATCCACAGCAGAGTAGCGCATCACACCTTCAAAAGAGTCGTTGGGGTACGATCGTTTCAGCTGCTCAAGACCAGACACGAGCCAACTCGGGGGAGGTGGCTATTTCCAATGTCAGCATTTCAATTCTCAATGTCTCTGTATGTGGCGAAGCAAGCAAAGAGGAAATGCGGTCATCAACTTACCCCTGGAACCCCAGGCTGGGGAGGATGAGGAGCATCAATGGCCCCGATCTGCTGAGCTGGGGTCTGCGATTGTGGAGTGGCGCTGGTGCTGGAAGATCGTGTATGACTGGGCGCTCCGCTTGACTGAGGCTGAGTCTGCGGAGGGGGCATTGCGCTTTGTGTTGGAGTTTGCACTTGAGGTGTACTACTCTGTGACGCCGGCGCAGGGGCTGGAAGACTGGGCGTCGAGGGTGGCTTCTTGTTCTTCAGGTCTTTAAGGAACTGCCGGAATCGGTCCCGTGAGATCTTGAGTTTCACAATGAGCTTGTCTGGCTCATCCAGACTCTCTTCTCGGTAATCACGCCGTCGGGCAGACACTCGGGTCTCATGGTGATGCGACGGCTCCGGAGTGGCCGAGTGGCCAAGATTCGAACGCAAAGCAGCTTGAGCGGCAGACGCCGCTCCTCTCATGCCTCTTGTACGAGCAGTACCTTGAGCCAGATGAGAACCGATCGCTGGAGAACCCACGGAAGACTCTTCACTATCCGAGAGGTCTGAGTCTTCGATACCATCCCGTTGTCCAGCAGCTGAGCGTCTACTCCGGCCTGTACCTGACCGTTTGAACAAGTGAGACTCCTCTATTGACGATGCCGAATTGGGTATCACCGAGGATACGATCATCGTTCGGATGGTTCGCTGACGGTCCTTGAGGTCAGGCAGAGCTGGCCCACCGCGCCGGTTGACGGAGCGCTTCTGACGTCGTTGCTCTCGCGATATCGAAACTTCGGTTCGCTCAAGCTCGGCCTCGTTGAGTTCGTACAGATACGGAGTGAATTCTTTTGCAGCCTGGAAGGGTCGGAAGGTTGAGGGCAACGGTGAAGGTAAGAAAGCAGCTTTGAGATCTGGATCCTCAATCGGACGTCCATCAAAGGGATGGGAAAGGATGTAGAGGGACCTCGTAAACAGTTGTATCTGTTCACGGATCGAGTGCGCAATGGCGGTGGTAAACTCGCCCGAAAGTGACAGATCCCTGGTCATCTGCTGCGCAAACTCCTCCGGGGAGTTGTAGGGGTTATTAATTTCCCACTCAAACTGATCGACCAGCGTATGCTGGCCAATGGTGATGTTGAGCTTAATTAATATGCGCATTTCATCATTCTTGTATGCATGGTATGGTAGATGAGGATCCAAGGGATCCTCTTCCATGTAAACGTGGGGGTAATAATCGCTTAATTGTTCCTGGATGCTCTGAGAAATCTGCCGGACGAGGGGTGCACACGACTCTACGGGGAGCCCCAAGTCTTCCACAAGCTTTTCCGCAAACAGGTCTGGAGATATAACGCGGTCATGGAGGTTCCAGGTGAACGTGTCCCGGATCTTCACTTTGTCCCAGTCGATATCCAAGCGAATGGGAACGAGGTCTTCCAACTGCTCATTCTGGGCCTTCATGTCTTTGCGAGATATTCGCAATTCGCGCGTCTTTCTTCCACCAGGACGCCGCCGGTTTGACGGATACAGCAATTGCGGGTGCTGGTTTCTGAGGTCTGTTCGTGCATTGCCAAAGCCTTCGTAGCCGACACCGTAGAGGGCGGCTGGGTTCATCTGAGTCTCCCGTCGCAGCGCCAGATAATAGTCTCTCTCGGCACGTTTTTGCTGTAAGATCTCCTGGCTTGGATTGTGAGAAGCAGCGAGGGCCGCATGCTGGAACTCGCGGTGGACATATTGTTCGAGGAGGATCTTGTCGGCTGGTGTTTCTCTGACACGGACAGGGGGCTCTTCCGGAGAAGAAGAGCTGATGACAGAGCCAGAACGAGACCGTTTCCGGCCCGCAGTCATGCCGTTGGTGCCATTCGCAGGTGGCGAGTTGGGTGAGTGGTCACTTTCCGAGGCGTGATGCTGGCTTTCCGTGGAGGCAACCCCCGACGCCGCGAGGACAGCTTTTGCATTTTGTTTCCCCTCCGCAATCATATCCGGCGTGGATCCATTGGTTTCCCGGTCTGGCAGCGCGTCGGAAGCTTCGCCCCCGAAGCCTGCATCTGGGCCCGACAACAGCGAGCCATTCTGAGTAGCAGCGTCTGGCTGAGGGAGGCCGGAAGGGAACTCAGACTGCGACAGCTCGCCTTCCGCGACCTCTGGGGACGGCATATTTGACAGCTGAAAGGAGTAGCGGAGAGGTACCTATCGCCCACGCGATACACGCTGAGAGCGACACTCGACGCCGACGGAAAGGACAACGGCCAAGGGCTATGAGCGCATCATTGACAGGACCTGCGGTCGACAGCAACAAGCTGGTCAGCCGGACTGCAGACGACGGCAGCAAGGTGCGATGCAGGGTCGCAGGGTGAAGCTTGACATGAGGGTCTGTCGTCGCGACAAGCGACCATCGCGGACACCCGACTGCCGGAGATGAAGAGGCGCGTCGCAGACACAATCACAGGGGACCAGGGGATAGGGGGCCAGACGGAGGAGGAGGAGAACAGGGTGGAGAGCACATACCAAGGCCGAGAGCACAACACGCCAGCCAGCGGCAGGCGGTCTTTGTCAGGGTCGGGGAGAGACAGAGGGTCGTTCCAGGCAGGACGAGTGAGTGGATGGGTCTGGTCGGGTCGGAGAAACGCGCAGGCTTGCCAAGCGCCCGGGAGTGAGACGACAGACGGACACAGCGCAGGCGACGGGCGCACCGGGATTCCGGGCCGGCCTGGGGGCTCAACAAGGCAGAGACTGAAACGGACAATTGTCGGGACTGGCCTGAGTCGCTGGATCGAGCGCTGGCAGGCGTGGCTTCGTGGTGCGTCACCGGGGCTGATGGGCTCTGGTTGGTTTGCTGGATTCTGGAAGAGAGGAGAAAGAGAAGAGCCGCGGGCGCGCGACGAGAACAAAACGTGACAAAGCCGGGCGGAACGGTCTTTCGCCGCTTCCGCGTACGGCCGGCAGCCCAGCACCGCGAGGCATGGCGCTGGGAATGAGGATGCACGGCGCGCAACACAGCAGACGACCAGCTGCGATCAAGCATCTGAGACGATTCTTCTGGGAGAAATCGTCCTGGCTATCCTGGAGGCTGTCGCGCAGTCGATCGGCCCAATGTTACCTGTATTGACGCTGTATCCATACCGTATCCGTACTAATCCGACCCGCTTAGCCCGATGTGGGTGTCACGTGACGCGTTCCGGCCGGATGCCTGGCCGATGACCGTTTGATGATGATGAACAGACAGGAACAGCAGTTGATGCAATAATGTCAGTGGCTATCGTCTTAATATATTGATCTACTACTCTTGACAGGCACGACTCGTACTGTGGACTCATCTTGGCCCCACAGCGCCTCCGTTCTAATACAGTCTTCCATGCCCGCAGATTTGCATCACCTAGCTTCTACTACTAATTACTTCATACTTCGAGCCCTTGCTCTGTCCGGTCTTATCGCAGAGCGCTTGTGGCAGCCTGCATCTTAGACGTGAATTGAAAACACTGCTGCGCTGTGATCGTCTGCCTTGTATTCCTTACGGACTGCGTGCGGTCACCTCAGGTCAACACAACATCTACCACGACCGCCCGGTGGTCAGAGTTGAAGACGCCGTCATCGAAGCGGTTAGGTAGGACGGCGTAACCCTGCAGACCCCATGGGATGGCTGCGTTCTGCGGCTGGCCTGAAGAGTTGATGGCTCCAGGCTTGTCTGCAGGTCCCAGGAGGATGTAGTCTATGCGGCTGGGGGGTTCTCCATCGTACCCGAACCCAGTGTAGGTATTCTCGTTGCCATAGTGTTCTGCGGCATCAACCAGTTTCTGGGCATCGACCAGGGACGAATTCGTGGCTGTGAGCACCTGGTAGGCCTCTTGGGTCTCGTTGCTGTTCAGATCGCCCGACAGGAACACCCCCGATATGCTTCCTCCATATTCTCCCGTGAGATAATCATTGATCTTGCGGAGGATAATGTGGGCTGCTTCGAATCGCGATCGTGATCCCTGGTCGTCAAGGTGGGTATTTAGTGCCAGTACCGTTTTGGAACTCGCACGGTGCGTGAAAACACCAATGGTGACAATGCGAATCGACGCTGCGTCCCAGCTTTTGGATGGTTTCTCTGGGGTTTCCGAGAGCCACACCGTCTCCCAGTGTCGGAGCTTCCAGATGGCTGGGCGATAGAAGATGGGCGAGTATTCTCCTTTCTCGTGGCCGTCGTCCCTTCCGACACCTATATACTGCCATTGCGAGTCGGGAGAGGCTGGGGAACCTTTGTTCAATCCCGATAGGATGTCTACCAGCTGGACATGGAGAACCTCTTGAAGGCAGATAAATGACTCTAGGTTATGCTGCGTATTGAACCGCAGTTCATTGATCAATCGCTGTTTTCGTTCCGCCCAGGGTTTCTCCCCCTTGAAGGGGGCGGATGTTGCGTAGCGGATGTTATGGGTTAGGATCCGGATAGGCAGTTCTGCTCTTGATCTCATTGCGATCCACTGGTTCAGCTGGAGCTCTCCGGACGCGAGACTCGCGGGTATTAGGCAGAAGAGGAGCAGGATCCCATGGAAGAATCCCATCCACGGTCCCGTCATTGGAGAGACTGTCTTCAGCAGCCGTGCAAGGGATGCGATCACTGCTGCTGCTCGGCAGCCCGCCAATAAAGCGGATAGCTGTAGCTTCTCAGATCCAGGCGATTCGACGCCCTGATGATCAGCCGCGCAGTCGAGTCCTGACGCAGATGATGATGGTTCGAAGTGGTTGGCATGAGCCGCGGACAGGGCCCAAGCAATGACGTTGATGCCGCTGTCTGCTGCGGGCGTTCGGGCGGCGCGACGCATTGGACGAGGATCATGCCCCACCGTCCGCCACACACACAACGCTCGCAACCCCGCCAGCTCAATTAAAGTGTGCACACGACCTGACGGTGCTTGTGAGGTCCGAATAATACGACTTCGCCTTTATCGTCTGTGTGACGCCTCTCTTGTCCTAGTGTCTTCTTCGCGATCTCCGTGACTTGACTCCTCGCATCGCTGCGAGGCCCTTGACGCAATGACTGAGTCCAACGAGGTCGGTAAGTGTACTACGCGTTAATGTTTTGAGAAAAGAGAAAAAAAAAAGGCTACGTACCGCGTAGAGAAGACTTCCAACACTGTCGAGAGTGTGTTCCATTGCTCGCGGTTCTTGCCGCGATTTTTGTAGAATCCTCAATATATGTCCTTTGCGTTCGTTCGTGTCTGACAATTGGCCATCTTATTCTAGACTACACACTCAACAACCCCGATACCCTCACCAAATACAAGACTGCTGCGCAGATCTCCCACAAAGTTCTCGAGGCTGTCACAGGTAGGAGAAGTACAATCTCGGCTGTACGGGAGAGGAATTGCTGACATGGATGTTGTCAGGATGGTGTCTTGAGGGAACCAAGATCATTGAGATCTGCCAGAAGGGCGACCAGCTTCTCGAAGAAGAAATTGCCAAGGTCTATAAAGGAAAGAAGATAGCGAAGGGTAAATTCCACCGTTGTGCATTGAACGTTTCTCGTGTAAAGCAAAAGAAAAAGCAAAAGGAAAAAGACAGTACAGCATTGACGTGAAATCTTTCTCAGGTATCTCTCATCCCACCACCGTTTCACCAAGTTCCTTCGTGACTCCGTACACTCCCCTGGTCTCCGATACGGAGGAGGCCAACACGACTCTCAAGGCTGGCGAGGTTGTCAAGATCCAACTGGGCGCACAGATTGATGGATTTGGCACTATTGTTTGTGACTCGATCATCGTTCCCGGAAAGGACACGCCCCAGGATGTGGTGACAGGGCGTGAGGCGGATCTCATCCTTGCGACGTACTATGCCAACGAGCTTCTCCTGAGACTCATGGTCCCTCCGGGCCTTCTGGCTTCTGGGACGGAAGAAGAGAAGAAGAAGGCTGCTGCGGAGAAACCTCCGACGCAGGCCAAGATCTCCTCTCTCATTGAGAAGGTGGCCAAGGCATATGACTGCAATGTCATCGAGAACACCACAAGTTGGCTGTTCGAACGCAATGAAATCGAGGGCAAGAAGAAGATCATTCTCTCCCCCAGTGGCGGTGTCAAGGGAGAGGGCTCCCCTGAAGTTGGAGAGGTCTGGGGCGTCGAGGTTGGCCTCAGTCTTGGTTCTGGCAAAGTAAAGACGCTGGAGAACCGTCCCACGCTGCACCGTCGCACAACCACAACCTATCTCCTCAAGCGCCCGAGCTCGAGGCAGACCCTCTCGGAGATTGTAAAGAAGTTTGGAACTTTCCCCTTCAGCTTGCGTCAATTGGACGATGAGAAAGCCGGCAAGGTTGGTTTGGTCGAGTGCGTCCGCGGTGGTGTTGTCCGGCAGTATGAACCTACTGGTGATTCGGACGGCGCTCCAGTTGCTCGCTTGTTGACCACCATCGGTAAGTGTCTCCCTGGACTGTCCACGAATGTGTATTGCTTGCCATTCACGAGGAGTTATCTTTGCCCCTGGCTAACCATCTGGACAGCCATCACAAAGAACGGAATTACTAGGCTGGCAGCACCGCCTACTCTAGATCTTTCTAAATTCAAGTCCGACAAGAAGATTGAAGACGAAGAGATCTTGAAGATCCTTGAACAACCGTTGGCCAGATCGACTGGCTCCAAGGGTAAGAACAAGAAGAAGAAGAAGAAGCCGAAGAAGGCCACGCAACAGCAGCAACAGGAGAACGAGGAGGAGGAGGAGTCTAGTGATGAAGAGTAGAGGCTTTCTGATCTCTCCGTCTGCCCTCTTGCAGTTGATATCTTCTCTAAGATGTAAGATCTCCTTCTGTTGCCCTGAACTTCAAGGGCAGAAGCTGCACCGGCAGGCTGCAGAAAGGGGATTAGGTCTTTATCTTCAAGAAAGGAAACTCAGGGGTGTCTTGGCTGCTGTTGGTGATGCCGTATCAGGCATCGTGGATTCAAGCAGTCTTGTCAGAGACATTGACATCCTGCACCGTAAATAACAAGAGCATAAAGAATAAGAGAAGCGTTACAAAAAGGAGGAGAAGTAAATTAAGACTTGCTAAGCCCTTTTCTAGTTGTAGACCCTGATTTTCTTTTTCGTTGCCATGGCAAATCTTGACGCGGCTCAACGTCTTGACTTCTGTCCTGATGATGGCCTGCTCTACGACTACGTATCTACCTAGGTAGGCTGATATTAGGGCTCCGAAAAGCGACGGGATCTTTTTTCCAGTAAAGAAAAGAGGAACTTAACCATCTACAGTTTCCTTTTCTATCATATCAGCTTCCTAAAGTGTTAAGGGGTCTTCATAGGCAGTATAATCCTTAGGAGCCTGGAAAACATCGTTCACTTTCCGGGTCTCGACGCAGCATTCACTTCTCCCCCGACACCCTCCGCTCACTTCACTTCACCACGCGACCTCTTGTTTACCATTCACTCTCGAAAAACTCGCTTAGCCTCTGTGAATCCACGCAGTGAATGAACGCGTCCCCTTAGGCAACAGTCCTCCCTCTCTGCCACGCTATAAATTCTCCCCCCCTCGACCTCGCTCTTTGTTTCTTACACACAACATCCAGTCTCTCACTTACACCCAGACTCGATACCAGTGTCTCTGACTCTTCAGACTCTTCGTGATATCTCTACCATCATTCATTCTACTGCTTCTGTTCGTCATCGAACTGCTTCTACTCATCGTCAAACTTCTTCAACTCCTTCTTCTGAGATCTACGTGCAAAAGCATAGTGGCAGCTCCAGCTCTGAAAACTTTTCAGGCAAAACAAGTCGCGTCACGCGTGCTCAAATCTCGCCTGCACTGTTTATCTCTTGACCCCTCTCTTGCTTCTTTCAGCTTTCAACTTGGTCATCCTCACTCTCTTCCTCCAAACATCATCACACTTCCCTTCTTTCAACCTTTGATATCCTCTTCAAACATCCTCGTACGACGCCAGTCTGGTAAGTCTTGACATCTTTCTGGTCAAGTCATCTCCTAACGACTCTAATAGTTCTTTCGACTTGGTCATCCTTACCAAACATCATCGTCTTTCGTACTCCCGAGAGACACTTGTTGAAATCTCACTTCTATCCTCTTAACTGTTGTACGACAACAGTCTGGTAAGTCTCCACAGCTCTCCATTAAAACCAGCCATCTCCTAACGACTCCACTAGATTTTTCAGCTTGATTATCCTTCTACTTTCTTGCTGCAAACATCGCTGTGCAACAGCATCTTGGTGAGTCCCCTTTCAACAAACCTCGTCATCCTTTTCACTTGTTTCGAATATCGTGGCACAATCTCGGATCCTGACAGCTTTCCAGAAAAGAACTGCCGAGTCAGTTAACGACACGGCTCTACTTCTTTCTGAACCTTGTCATCATCCTTACTCTCCGTTGCTTCGATTACCAAGCAACACCAGTTGAGCTACACGCGTCGAAATTTCACTTGCAATCTTCATCTCCTGACATTGCTTCAAGCAAAGCGAGTCACGTCAGGATCATCAACATTCAATCTCACTTGTC